GGCATAATAATGAAAGAACACACTCTCAAAGATCAATAAACTTTAAATTGTAATGAACACTTAATGCTGGAACTGGAAGACATGTTAAATATCAAAACATGAATAAAATAGAATATAATGAATTATGAAGTCTCTAAACAAAAATTGTCCCTCATAAAAGAAAGGGTCTAGTCGAGACCTAAGCACCAGACTGAAGACTTTCATCATCCAGTTTTTGGTAGAAAGAGAGAAAAAAGAAAAACAATAAATCATGCAACTGGAAATTATTAATCTTGTTATAATTTATCATTCAATTAATTGATTTATTGCTCATTGTGATAGGCCAAGACCTTTGTTATTCTGTGAGCTTTAGTTTATTTGACCAATAATGAAGTCTGCCAGTGTAGTTATGAAATGTGTGACCCTTAAACCTGAGTGGACTGTGCCTTACAGATTGCTTCAGCCGACGGTGGAGTACTGACTGCCTAACCCTAACCCTAATCCTAATCCGAACCTTATCAGCTCGGTGTGGCATACAAAACAGTCTGATGTGAATACTGTTAGCCTCTGAGCAGATTCCTGTGCAATGCAGAGCAAAACCCGGGGCACTAATCTACCCTCTTTCATTGGACTTAAAGGATCTACTGCTGCAACATACTGATGCTAAACATCATATCACACCTTTAGGGTTTTAGTGGAGTTTTTGCCTCTGCTGGTCGTCACAAACTATTTTGGAAAAGTTCATCTGTTATTCCACCTGCAATTACAAACCCTGAAAAATCATTGCACATATGCATAAATTACTCTTGGGAGGGCAACTCTCAGCCTAGAGTAAGTACATCTGCAAACGGTCCATGATGAAGCAGAGCCTTTGTCTGACTAGACCCATTCTTAATTTGCTGTTGAGGACATGTTTCACAGAATTCCAGTGAATGTGCCCAAAAGCTGTTCTTACTATAAAAGCGCCTCTCTCAGAGTTGTAGTTCATTGTTGCAGAAGTAACCACAGAGCAGTTCCACCCAAAACCCGAGGAAGGTCTGAATCACTCTGCAGAGAAGGCCCAAATTTGTGCAGCGTGCAGTGGGCAGTCAGGCTTGGCACACACAAACATGCAGAATTAAAAATCAGTTGTTGTGACTCAGGGGTGAATCATCCAGTATGTTCCACTCAGGCTATGATCCACTCGGCTTACGTGTTGAACAAAGGAGGTTTTTTCTGTGGATCCTGGGAGGGTGAGGAGAGATGGAACAATGAAGGGGGGATAAATGGCCGATTGGGGTGGGAAAGGTGGCCATAAGAGAATATGGCTGAAAGTTTAATAGAGCTTGTTTTACTGTCTCAGCATGTGTGGATCTTGTGTACAAACATGGTAATGAAATGGTCTTGATAAGAAAACTGTCCTAAAGATCCATTTGCTAATTTTAAGGTTGCGGCAGTAGGACAGCAATGTGAGCCAAGAACTATACATATTTGTTTGGGCATAAAAGATAAAAAAAAAAAGAGCCTTTGAGCAACAGATGTTTCTAGAAAACAAAAGGTATATGAAAAAACTTTTTGCAGCAAATGGGCATCAGAAAACAGATATGGTGTCTCAAGTTTCAGATTTGGACTGAACTATGTTTGCCGTCGATCAAAAGATGAGTGTCTAGAAAAGGAATGTTGGAGAATCTGATACTCTGGGCCTGTTTATCTTGCCAGAAAAGTTAAAACCCATCATCGCTGGGTACTTCAGGAAGAAAATGGTCCAGAACACAGGAATTGTTCAGCAGAAAAAAATAAAATAAAAAAATTTGTCTTCTCACTCCTGATCTAAATCCTTCAGAAGACATTTGGAGTATGCTAAGTAGCAGCATCGCTTTAGACAGGACCCAGAACGCTGGACAGTTGGCAAATGAGACATTTTGGAAACACAACAGCAACAAGGTGCCTAAAAGTTTTTTAAAGTGAGATTCCACGCATCTGATAGAAGATTCGTTGAATTCAGAGTTTTCTTTGAACTTCATCAGAGCTGCCAATAAGTATGATGCAGTTCAGCTCCAGTGCCTTGGTAACGATGAAGCGGCTTTGGTATATATTTTAGGTCTTGGCTTATTATTTGTTTTTATTGGTTTGTATTGGAGTGAAATACTCCTCCATCTAACTTGGAATGCAATCATCAAGAGCCGAGGCAACGGGAAATCATTTCATAAACACTATTACACAGGGTCTTGTGTTGCTTGCTGTACTATGAGCCGCCATGGGAAGACAAAACCAATTTAAATGTAAATTAGCAACAGCAAAGAACGAAACCTGCTTTATTATGCTTATAAGTGATACTGTTCTCATAAAAACGCAACATTTATTTATTTACATGTTTAAAAACAGTTGGCCGATGAGAGTTTGGCTATAATCCAAGTGCTAATATGTTTGGCAAGGAATGCTCTAGAATGCTAGAGGAGTTGATGGGCTCTTCAGGGGGCTTTGAAGGGACCCGAGTGGCTGAGCATAAGAAGGGAAACTAATTAAATTTCAAGTAGGAGAAACGGAGCGTGACGATGCAGAGAGGGTCAATAAAGACGTCGGTAAGGCTGGAATTATAGGAGAAACACCTTGGTAAGGGGACGGCGTTTATTTGAACTTTTTAACTGCAAACTTACACAATTTTAAGCGGATTGTTAAGTTTCATTGATTCGTTTCAGCAAAGAGGATGAGAGATTTGTTCTTCTCTTTGTTGCCAATTTTATTTAAGTGTTAAACAAAATTTCTATTGGTTCATTAAATGACATGACATGTTCCTGTCTCAATTTCTCAAGCATTACATCGATTAAGATTGCTAATTAAGCCAAAAAATATTTTTACCTTAACAGGACTTTTGATCGATCAACACAATGAATAATTGGAAAATGGAAGCAACATGATTCATGGTTTTCCACTTTATTCAAATAATCTGAAACGTGCGACTCGCATTTGGTGTGTATGCGTGTGTATGTGTGTAATTAATCTATGCCACACTTATTGACTTGAGTTACTGAAAATCAAATATGTTTTTAAATATTCCAATTATGGGTGGGATTGTATTGGATTTTTTAATTAATTACATTAATTTAAATGAGTTAAAAATTGTAAGGCAATTAATCACCTTTAAAAAAATACATTAAAGTTGGAACAAGTGAAACAAGAATATTTCTGTTAGGCTCTTAAAATGTATTTAGGTCTTCTAGGTTCCTAAGAAATAGCTCAGTGCTATGCCATTGGGGAAAGCTAACTGTAATAATACTAGCCTTCCAGTGAGAATATCAGATGTAAAATGAAAGACTATATATTACAGAGATTACTCTCCCATTATAAGGAGAAGGTATCCAGTAGCTTCCTCCAGCACATTAATCATCACTGCCTCACTGGAGGTTGCCGTAGTAACAATTGATTATTTAATAGTGGGCAAAGATTACGACTAGACTGCATTTAACTTAATTTAAATAGAAAACTGACTCTGCTTTCACCAGTGCTAAAACCATTCTATTATTTCGTCTATTATATTTCTGAGTCCATCTTAAGCTGTTTAATTATTCCGTAAATAATTTCAGTGTTGCAAATGTTATCGCAACAACAACCTTTCGAGTCAGCACTCTGATTAGCTCTAAACTGACCCGTTAAGGTTTAAACATATGTTGGAGGTACGAAGGAGAGTCATTAAAAAGGATAAATATAGATTTTTTTCTTATTATTCTTCCACCCGTTGCTTTAGCGACATCTGAAAATTGATCATGTCTAAGAGTGTGTGTGTGTGTGTGTGTGTGTGTGTGTGTGTGTGTGTGTGTGTGCACGCATAGTATCAGAGTGGACCACCAGGGAGGCTTTCTGCATAATTGAGCTGTAGAAGTTCTAATAAATCATTCAATAACTTTGATCTGCTGCTAATGCTGAAAACAAGACTTTGATGCAAAATTTTGAGTTACTGAAGATTTTTTTCTAATCCAAACACTTCTGTAGGACTCAACAAAGGTTTTGGGTTTAACTGCAATGCCCATCAGGACAATACAACAATTCAAACTGTCACTCTGGCTGCAAAACAGCATGACAAGGCTTCTACCACCATGTTTGACAGATGGATTTAGATTGTCTACAGGTTTTATTTGTGATTAAAAGTGTCTGTTTTGGAGCAGGAGCTTCTTTTCTCCAATGCATCCTTTAGGTCCGTGTTGATGTTCACTGTCTTGTTAGGATTTTGTTTCTGAGCTTCAGATTCATCCTTTTCTACAAATGATAAAGTTCATTGTTGCATTTTAAGTAAAACCATTGCTTATTTATTAATGAATTGAACTGTTTCTTTGGATATTTTAATGCCTCTCCAATATAGCATAGAAAAGACTTTTGACTAAATTAAAAATCTGAAGAATATGTCCATTTTCTTTTATCTGATTACTCGATTATTTTTTATAATCAATTATTCTGATGATGAATCTATAGCTGCAGGCCTGATTCATAGTTTAGTCGTGTAAAAACTGACATTTTCAAACCATATTAATCTACAATTTAACAGAGATCAATCTGAGCAGCGTCACAGCTCAATAGCTGCTCTGCCTTTTAAACCCGTCCTTGCCTGAGCTCAGGTTTCACACGTTTGCTCAAAATCAGTCATCCAGTCCCATGTGGTCCTATTATCTGCTGCTCTGCCGGGGTGTAGAGCAAAACAATCTCTTCCAATGACCTCTGAAATTGAAGTGGGGCATTCCCGTCACCTGAGGCTGTGTGGAACGGCTGTGTGTACATTTCTTCTCTCTCTGTTGTGTCTGCTCTGTTGTTACAGTATTTATGTCTGCAGTCCCAAACCTCATTCAGACAGGAGAACTAGCAGCCTGGGGCAGACAGTTGTAAGTGGGCATGTCTGAGGAACTGCAGAGTAAGTGTGCATGAAGTTTACAGAACAGGGAGATAAAATCTAATATGGCGTATTTGGAAGCAGAAAATATGCGACAACAAACTGAAGGAATCACAAATCTGTCCTATGGCTTCACGTGAACATATCTCGTATGTGTTTGCAGCCAGGTCGAAGAGCATGGTGATGGGCGAGGTGTCGCGAGGCTCGTGCAGGCCAGGCTCCCCCAGCCTCCAGGAGGGGGCGCTGAAGGCCGGATGGCTGAAGAAGCAACGCAGCATCATGAAGAACTGGCAGCTACGCTGGTTTGTGCTCCGCTCAGATCAGCTCTACTTCTATAAAGATGAAGAAGAAACCAAACCACAGGTAATGTTTCAGACATATCAGAAAAACTCACAAGTATAGCGTTGGTATATTACACAAACATGCTCATGGATTAACTTGGATAAAACAAAAGGTCATTTGAAAGTATCCAAGTGCTGGTTCCAGATGAAGTATTTTGTTTCACAAAAGCATTCCACGTTAAACTTTACACTATCAGAGGGTTCTCTGTATAACGATTACCAAGCACTTCAAAGGTTTAAATACAGTCAAAACTCTGCCATACCGTTCCAACACTTCAAAGTATTTTGAATGAGATGCCAGAGAAAGTACCAAAGTAACTGGAGGAAAAATTACCACCACCACCAATACCCAAGTCAGCCAACTGAAAGAAGGTTAGTATCAATAGCTGAGATGTTTTTTTTTTTTTTTTTTATTGCGCCATCGATCTTTATTCAATAGTAGCTGGACAGTAGGAAGGGCAGAAAGACCAAGGAAGACATTCAGCAAATGGACCAGGGCCAACCATCATTCTGAATTGTGTCAGTGTGACACTCACCTCAATAGATCTCAATCCAACGAATCACGTTTGGGATGAAGTGAAACGTTAGATTTGCGTCATGGGTTTGTAGGCAGCAAAACTGCAGCAGTTTCATGTTGCCATCAGGTCACCATAGACAAGAATCGCCAAGGAATTTATCCCCGACATTGAAATAAGGACATTCTGTTAGCACAAGGCTTTAGTACGGCAGTGAAAATCCTTCCAGTGGGAATTTCTTTGCTATTGCACCCAGATGTTGACTCATATTTTCCCAGTGAGAGAGTGAGAGAATGGAACATGTGATTTGACGATTATGTAACCCAGAAGAACGTAGGCATTCCTCTAAATGTCTGTGATAATCACCTTATACAATCTTGCCAAACTCTGAACATGTATCGATCCTGATCTTCACTCCGCATCACTACTTTTCATTTAAAGCAGTCCTACCCTTTAGTGCCCATTATTATCCTCCCACCCACACAGTGACTGAAGGCTTTGACAGTCTGTTCTTCAATCAGACCTTGCCAATACTCATTCACCCTGAATTGATTTGAAACTCCCAATGGATTTAGCTGCACCCTTACACCCCCCCCCCACACACACACACACACACACATACGCACACACACTCACCTCCCCCTAAAAACCTGAATATCTGACTGTCAGTCTACCCTTTTAACACCCCCTCCTCTTCTAATCGATTGGGAATCCAAAGGCTGGAGTGGAGTTGGTTGTATCTTTGTGGGGGTGAGAAGACTAATCTCGGAAACCGAACATGACTACCCCCCCAAACAGATAAAAGGATGTGATAATTGGCAGCAGGAAAGCCAATACTGAGGGGGCTTCTAGACAGGTTTTCTCCTCCCTTTCATCATTCAGAGATAAATCCACTACAGGGCAAATGGACTCTGGTTATCAGACAATGGATGATGGGAACTGCCATTAGTGAACACAAAACACAGCCCACCCTCAGATACAAGATTACTTTAAAGTGATGAGGGCAGAGAAGCTTTAATGGTCTCTCTCTATTGCTAAATGTTTTTAACAATATGTTCAGATGTCAAGACCATCATGATCGTCTTGTAGTCGTCTTATCTTATTTAGCACTGTTGCATTGCAGCAAGAAGGTCCTGGGCTCGAATCCTGGCCCAGGATTGTTCTGCATGGAGCTTTCATGTTCTCCATGTGCATGTGTGGGTTCTCCCTGGGTACTCTGGCTTTCTCCCACAGTCCAAAAATAGGACTTTCAGGTTGCTTGATCTCTCCAATTTCTCCTTAGGTGTGAGTGTGTGCATTGGAAGGCTAAAACATGTGTCCATAACAATGCATAGCTGAACTGTTTGAGGAAACACAGATTTATGAACTCACCACGCTTAACCAGGCTGCAGCTTCTCATGAGCTTGCACACTTGCACACAATTTCAGGCTAAAATGAATCTCCCATCAGTCAGCACAATCAACTGTTTGATTTGTGTTCTCAAGTTACGACTTGCCTTTATTCCTCTATCCATTCATCTTCAGCCAGCTACTATCCGTGTTATTCTGAGCACACAGCTCCCCTGGGATATTCATCCTGCCATGCCCCTGAGCCCCATCAATCCAGAACCCCCCTTCCACCTTTTCCATTTGTCTCCATAGCAACTAATGCTGCCGACAGCCCGGCCCTTCTGGCTGAAGCGGTTTTGGCAGACTCTGCACACCGTTTGATGGAGGGTGCCAGTGAAGAGATTAACGGGGGGGTGACCTGCAGAGGCTGGCATCTTTTTGCAGCTTTCTTGGCCCCTGCGTCTTGGAGGCTAAATGAATATTGATCTGGAAAATGTATTCTGATAATCTGTGTTGGTACTGGTTCAATCACAGAAGTGGCTAAACTTAAGAGGTGCAACATAAGAAGAGGATAAGAAAGAGACAGCAGAGGAGAAAACATTTTTCTCAAGAACATATATCAGAAATTCAAAATGAATGCAGGTTGGGATAGAAATAAAATAGTGGCATAAAGTAAAGATGCACTTCACAATGGCATGGTTATTTAACTGAATTTCTGTGTGTTTCAGGGCTTCATACCCCTACAGGGATGTCAGGTCAATGAGCTCACTGCCAACCCAGATGAACCAGGCAGGCACCTCTTTGAGATCGTACCAGGTGAGAACCAATACCTTCCTTCTTACTCATATTTGTCCTTTTTGATTTAATGCACCAGTCTCACAAAATGACATTCAACTGCACTTTTTCCATGCTCACTCCTAATATCCAAATATTCATCCAGCAGAGGGCGCCGTTTCTCTAGCCACTTTCCTCTCTTCTCAGACTCTTGTATCGTTTACCGTAGGGACTGACAAAGTGACAGTCACTTTCTAGCTGGCAGAAGGTTGTCTAGCTTGAAAAAAAAGCACCTCACCCTCCACCTCTTAGCTGCTTTAGATTTCAGAGGCGTAGCAGAGCGGTTATGCTTCACACAAAGATTGATAGAGGACCCTTGACCATTGCTTGTACGTGTCTTTAGACCAGCAAAAAGCTTTACTATCCAGGATTATTGTAGTTTCTAGTATAAACTGGGCAGGAGTTTTGACCACTCTTCAGAAATTATAGATCTTTGAATTTTTTTCTGGACTCCAAAATCAGTTTTGACATGCATCTGATATTATTCTTTTGGAATAACTGTGTTCAAGGTTAAAGAACTTGGTGGAAGTTGTTTCTGACAGTTTCATTTTTTATGGTACATCAGCATCACTGGCAATGTAGGGCATTCTGGGACAGACAACAGTGTTTGTGGACATTGCTTGTGCATCAAATTTGCAGGCGTATAAGAGATACATGAATGCAGAGGTTTTTTTCTTTTTTTTTAAAGTTTGTTTTGGTTCAAGTGGCTTTTATTTTGATAGTGAATTGACAGGAACGTGGGTAAGGATAGAAGGGGGAAGACGTGCAACAGGCCGGGACTCAAACCTGCAGCAGCCATGAGGACTAAGCCCTCCATAAGTGGGTTGTGGTTCTGCCACCACAGGACCGAACTGCTGATTGGAGATTCTTGGTGGAGAACGAGCAAACTCCATGCAAGAAGACCCCAAACTAAGATTCAAAACCATGACATCATTACTGTAATGGCAACAGTGATACTAACTGTACCACTGTCTATTTTACTATCAAATTGGAGGTTAACAAATAGAAAGAGCAAGGCTCATTGCGGGCAATAATTATATATTCCTCATGCTTTCCTTCAGCATTTGTTTCTCTGCTTGTGTTTAGAATAGTTGACAGGTTTGTGAGTGTCTGTGTGTTTTCTTCCTGACCAGTCAATATTACAGGGGGGTGTGATCCCCCCGAGCTTCAAACTGATGGGTCTGCACAGCTGGACCCGAAGAAGAGAAGGGAGTCTGAGCAAAAATTCAGACAGCTGAGGAGGGAAGAGGTCGAGCGGAAAGAGAAAGGGGGAGGAAGCATGACATGATTGGGGAAGGGGAAAAAAAGCATTTTGAAAAGATATGTGGACTATCACTGATGGAAGTTATCGCAAGTGTTTTTAAGATTTTTATGAATCCACAGGGAAGAAACTTAGGTTACGGTACTCCCTCTTTATCCAATCTAACCCACTGAGAATGATAGACAGGAAGGCTTTACTCACTCACTGCTGGGTGAAAGGGAGAGGCTGGAAGCTTTAGATTGCACATGGTGTTCAGCAGTTATGGTGAAATACAGGAAATCTGTATATTTTCTTTAGGATTTTGGTAAAAAGTGGCAATTAGGGTGATTGACACTAACAAACGGTTGCGTATCATAAGTTTAACTGCAATTGTGCATCAGCCACAGCTGGCTTCAGCTGAGTTGTAAAATGTAAATACAGAGAAATGGAAAAAACCTTTCAAACTGATTCTGAGATTTACATTTAACCTAGGAAGTTACCAAATTAGATTAATATGGTTTAACTTCTTGTCTGTAAAGAGCCATCACTAGCATATGTCCATGGCAACCTAGTTTGTCATCAACACTCTTATGATTTTAAACTGTGTATTTTCATGTATTCAATTATCAGTAAAAGTATTCAAAACCACATTTTCAAATCCAGCATGTGCGATAAACACTTTGAAAGCACAAACGGATATAACAGAGCATATTGACTGTATTTCATTTAGTTCTCTTGTTTTCCACTGAGGCATTGCTCTCACTTGCAACCTGCTTGCACTGCAGACATGTTGTTACAAGACACAAACACAATTACCTTTTAAATCGATCCTCCCCTGCCTGGCTTACTCTGACATTTTAAAATTCCTCTCTGATTCTGGAAATGGTGAGTCTTGAATCAGTGTGTTTCAAAAACACGACCAGTGAGTGTTTTCGCTACTGTCAAATGGTAATCCTCAGTGCGGCATGTTCTCTGATTGGAAAAACTATTGAAATCCTGAGCAACTTTCAAATTGGAATCAAACAGTTTCTTGAAACATTCCTTGTAAAAAAAAAAAAAAAAATTTGTAACTTGTACCTTTTAAGTATCACTTGCAGTTTATCAAATTGGTATCTTAAATTTAAAAATCAGTGCTAGCTCACCAGCCATAAGACTTGCAATAGGCAACAGCATTTTCCATCTTTCTTGTGTTAAAGAAATCAGCGAGAATTGGAAAATGACTGGGGCTATTTAAAGTAGTGCTAGAATTAGCACAATAAGCTACTGCAATAATAAAATGCAGCAATGCAATTTAATATTAGGTATTTATTGGAATATTGCACCAGTATGCTAGCCATTGGAGTTGTATGCAGTGTCTGTTTTATATTCCGAGTAGCCAAGGTTTTCCACAAACTTTTTCAATTTACATGTTGTATTATTAGCCTGATAAAAAGCAGCTCTACGTTCTGTGCTTACTTGTGACATTTTAAAATTCCTGTCTGATTCTGCAAGGCCAAATAAAACGTGCCGCAGTTCAGGGTGTTTGGACTCTTGGCTTTGGAGAACCGATTGCTTGCTGTAGGTGTGGACTGTGCTGAAGTTTAAAATTTTACCCAATCACTAACCAGAAAAATCATGTAGGTACTGCTCCAGTTTGATGCTTTGAAGCTTACCTGAAATTGCCTGCACTGTAAACAACCGTCCTCCACCGTGAAGAGAGAAGTGTTAAGTCAAACGAGATGATGTTAATTCAATATTTGGAGATATGGAACTGCATAAGAAAGCAATGTCCAAGCTATTGTATGATAAATGCTTTCATTGTTTCCAAGGATTAGATCGAGTTGGACTTGAGAAACACTTTCAGAGTTGCCTGTGTTCATGGAGCTTGACTGGCTTTATAGGTTTTCCCTGTGTGTGTGTGTGTGTGGGTATGAGTTTGTCTGACAAAACTTGGAGGACAGCCCATCTCCCAGTTACTCCTCACAGACGCTCTAAAGAGACAGAGAGAGAAACTTGTTCCACCCCTCCTCTGGGATTTGCGTCTTCCCAGGGGGGCTGAGAGTACAGACCTGCTGCCGGCACTGCTGAGTGAGAGAGCAACGGAAGAAAAGAGTATGAAAAGACTGAGGTGTAGGAAGCAGGGCTCGTCTGACGGTTTCAGTTTCTACAAGAATTGAGTATGCCTCAGCGGGAGGTTCTGGCCATCGGCACACCTACCTGTGTGCCGATCAGCTTCCAGAAGGAGCCCGCGTTGTTGGAGGAGCTGACTCTTCATGCCGGAGCCCTAGGCCCAAGCCTCTCCCCACTGCAGCCTCAGACATGGGGCCGGTCTGCTGCAAGCCGGACAGACTGAAGAAACAACATCTCCAAGGTAACAGGAAACAGATGCTGGAGAGTTTTTACAAGTGTGGCAGACAGTGAAGTGGAGACCCGAATGGCTTTGAGACTGCTACAGGCTAAGATTTACAGCACAATCGGAACAAACTTTTTTTGTGTTTTGAGTTAGGCAGTCATTTGGGGCTCATTTTACTTCTGGGATTTTAGACATTTGAGGAAGACTTAAGCATAAGGTACATAAGTGAAATGTGCCACCATGGCAATAGCCTTGACTCAGGCACCTTTTATCATGTTTGTGGGAAGAAGAAAAAATTTCTGACGATAAAAGTTTTAGCTTGTTTTTTGTGCTTTAGCATACATAGCTTACATATTTCACTCAGGTCCCTCAGGACCTGGTCCAAGTCAGTCAGTTCCTCCAAGAGACAGAAGCCCCAACCATAACTTCCATTTGGCGACTTAACTCATAAAAGTTTCTTTCTAAATGTAAGGAATGGTCCAACCCTGAAGAGAAGCAGAGCTACCATTGTTGCACACCTCAGTTTTTAGCAAGTAGCTCAAAGTCTCAACAGCTATTGTTGGGCTTATTAGGGGTAAAGTTTACCTTCGTGCAAACGACCCCCCAAAGAAATCGCAGCGCCCCCTACCGTCCTTTGAACACCCCCCCGGGGGACGGTATCACCCCCTTTGAGAAACACTAGTGTAGGGCATTCTGGGTAAAGACAAAAGAGAAAGCCTACAACCTCTAAAATCCGACACCACTCCATTTTTGTTTAGATTTTGTAAAGAAAGAGGTTGCGGTCAGTGTCTTCTTCAGAAGTTTTTGTCTAAAATCCATCAGTAGTTGTTGGTTCGACACCACCACAGGTGAAAGTAGCACCAGCTGCTCTGCCCAGATCTGGTGGACAAAGCTATAGATGGATCTACATCTACAGCTGTGTTTTCCTACACACCGAGCACCCTACTGCTGCTCAAATGTTCAAATTCACTGAGCAGGTTAAAAGTTCTGGTGGGAATCTCTGGCTCTTATCTTCCTGATAAGATTTTCCATCACAACAAGTCATTCTCCCTAATCTGTGGCATTCCACAAGGTGCAGTTCTGGTCCATTATTATTTCACTTTTCATCCTTCCATTTGCAGACATAATTTAATCTTTTCTGATATTTCCAACTACACTTACACTTCAGTGTGTATAGCCATCTACCAGATGACTGTGTCAGCACAGTCAGCACAGCCATCTACCAGAATACATCATGCTCTCCTCTCCCAACATGCTGTCCAGCAGGACTTGGCACCTGCACAAGCCCAAACGTTGCTCATAAGACCACAGTGTTCCTGTTCTTGATTAGTCAACAAATTCCCCTGACCTTTAACTTCATAGAAAATCTGTGGGTTGATGTCAAGAGGAATATGAGAGAAACCAGACCCAACAAGGCAGAGACCTGAAGGCAGCATCAAATAGGGTTTCCATTACAGTGCCACAGGCTGATCTCCATGCCATGTCACATTGACGCAGTAATTGCAGCAAAAGTAGCCTCAGCCAAGTACAGAGTGCATGAATATACATCCTTTTTATGTAGATGTTTTTCCAAAACACTGAATTTGGGGTCTCCTTAATATGCAAGGCATAATCATCATAATCACAAGACGAAATGCTTTAAATATTTCACTTTGTGAAATGAATATTTACAAAATATAAGCTAAGCTTTCTGAAATGAGTGACAAATACTTAAGATAATTTTTTTGGTAAGTACTTGTATTCCTTGACTTGATTTATTAATTTTTAGAAGAAATTATTCAATTCCCAATTCACTGTTTAGTCCCATGGCAGTTTGGGTACTGTTCATACTGAATATCTTTACTTTTGTTTTGTTGTTCTCTACTCTGCTGACCAATACGAGCACAAAGCCCATCTCACGTTTGGCAAAACAAAAACACATCTCGATGGTCCAGAAAGCTTTGGGGAAAATATGTGAAATCTCATGGATATTGTGTATCCTTACAGCGTTTCAGAAAAAGAGCAATACACCACAAGTGTGTGTCACTGGAGATACAGGATGAGATGCAGTCAGACTTCTCGTCTTTTTTGATAACTTTGAGTTTGCTCGGGCAGATTGAATCCCTCATTTGATTTCAGTGTTGATCATTTGTAAACCTGTTCCTGAATGGAGCTAGATTATATTTCTGTTCTCCTGGTTGGTATGGTTATATGGTGAAGCCCTGCTCATCATGAGAGTGTGACTTTAAAAAGCTGGGTGACAATGGCCCTCAGCTTCCATTGAGCTGCTGTTTAAATTTGGTTAAATGACTGTGACAACAATGACTGTGGCTGTGGCAACACCACCGCCCGACACTAATGGCTCCAAACAAGAAAACAGAGACATTCTCCGAATTACTCAAGTGCGTGCTAAAGAGATTTAAAAAAAAGTTATTGTTTTATTTCTTGCTTCATTCTGGTTTTTCCTTTTTATATAATTTATTATTTGGCAGTATTACCTTATAGAAATCTTAATTATGTTTCTCTTTTCCCCCCAAATTTAGTGTATGAGTGTGTTTATGTGTTGATATTTCAGATAAAATAAGTTGCTCAGGATTAGGTCAAGTACTTTGAGCAGAACTGATGGAGCCATCTAGTGGCGAGACTGATGCAATGCATCTTTGTTCACCTTTAGAAAACAGAAGGTTTGGGATTATTTTTGCATAAACCCAAAAGTAATAAAAAAAGATTGTGTAAAAATTGTTTGATTGTATACCAGTGTTATAGCAAACCATAACACATAACCAGAGGTGGGTAGATTGAGGCTGAATTAGAACAATTCCTCAAAGATTAGTGGTATTAATAACGATTACTTTTTCTACACAGAACCATGAAATTTTTTATTTTTCTGCCTCAATAATCATCCTCATTTAAATATTGCATTTGTGTTTACTTGTGACATGTGACTAAAATTGGTGGTTTGATGATTTGAAACACTTTCACACCACGGTACTGTGCATTCAGGCAGTAAGGAGTTCAACTTTCCTAAATTCTGATGCTGGCAGCTCGCCCACATCTTTACATGAAGGTCAGTATTTCTCATGTGAACACACTCCCAATAAGCAGTAGACATTGTCTATAATAATAAGGCATTTTTCTCCATGTCTTATTCTGCATATCATAGCTTATTTGACGCATTAACTTCCTTTCAAACTAATTCGAGACGCTTTAGTTTGAACTTCCCACACCGTTTCATTCCCATAACTATGTCATACGTGTCTCACACGTTCAGTCACCTGAACTCCTCTCTCAACTCCTCGTCTTTGTCCCTTTCCAGGTGGTACGGGAGAGAAGGACCGTGCCCCGATTAGCCATGAATCCTTCCTGCTCATGGCAAGCTCGCAGACCGACATGGACGACTGGGTCAAGGCCATTCGGCGGGTCATCTGGGCGCCATTTGGCGGAGGTAAACTCAAGCCTCAAGCTAAAATGCAAGGAAAACGACATGGTTTATGTAGGGAAAACTGTAGACCAACATTATTCGGAATAGCACAGATGTTAAAAAAAAAAAACAATGTTTGTAAAGTTTGAAGACAACCTCCAAAAGCAGGGAAAATTTTAATTTCCTGTCGGCCACACAGGCTCCAGAAATCTACAAAATGCATTTGAAACAAGATTTTTACGTTTAGAATGGAAATGCCAACATCGTGCCTCACCTTTAGCTCATCTATGTCAAGTTGGATGACATAGCTGCTCTGTCCAGATCCTAGCTGTTCCTGGCCAGCAACATCTTCAAACATGATCCAGTCTATCTATTTCAGGATATTTCCAAAATAGACTAAATTAGATCGCAGAGAGTTTCTATTTTGTTTCCACTATCAGTTATGGGGAAGTTGTTGGTGTGTATAACTGCTTTTGGTTTGATTGATGGTTGGTTGGTTGGATGCAGCAACCAATTAGTCTGATACTAATAATTAGCTTCACATCCCAGACTAGTTAATTTGAGAGGGTAGAAACATATCCAGACATGTGTAACTGTACAGAGGACCAAGGCGCAGCTGAACACCAGTGTCTTATGTTACCACAGGAACTATATTAATAGGAACATAAATTTGGAGTAAGTCACCAATAATATAGTGGATGACATCACTGGCAGACATTTGTAATTCTGTCTCAGGCAGACACTTCTTTAACTTACATTATTAAACTACTTCAAACTTTTTTTTGTATAGACTATATTGCTTAGAATATAAAACTTTAAAGGAATATATAACAATGTGTAGAACTACGGTGGAAATGTAAAAGCTAGCCCTATTAGTTAGCTTTGCAGCATTAATTTAACGACGTCTTGCTGGATGGAGCCAGTCAGCTCAAATCTTACAAGAAAAAGAAACAGCTCTTTTGAACTATAACAGTGTGAGGTAATTTGCAACAATTACATCAATGGAGCTAATAAAGTGGGTTCTGAGTGTGGCTCGGTCATGTTTCACAGGTCCCGGAGGGGCGTGTGTTTGTGTGCGTCTCGTCTCGGCTCACAGTCCAGAATAGACCTGTCGCCAGCTCTCCGAGCTGAGCTAAACAGCACTCCAACCTCATCATGTTCTTCTGCTGTGTTGCAGCCATCTAGTTTGCCACTTGACTCAGTTCTGGAGTTTGGAAATGAAGAATTAATCCCCTGGTTCCCGGAGTGAAATGCCAGACACGGGATGGATTAACGTAGTGAAATGCGGCTTTGGGATGTATGAAAGACGCTCTCTGCTGCCATGCAGCTCCTGCATGGTGAAGTACCACGATTACTGCGAGCTGTCGGCCAACTGTGAATGCTGCAGCCAGTCAAACAGTAATTAGATGCTAATTCAATACACCTGCGCTGTCAGGGTAACTGGTTTAAGCTCACTATATTTATGTTTTTATTAAGTATTAAGTTGAATAAATAGCACTGAACTAATTATAAAAGTTAGTAGGGACTAAAGTTGGGGGTGAATTGTGTTGCTCTAACATTTTGTCTTAATGTATCATTTTAAAATCACTTTTATATTCTTTATTGCATTATGGTCCTGCACTTTATCAATTTTAGTTTGTACCAAAAAAAAATTTACTTACTTTCTTAAAAATACACTACATAATTTATTATATCTAGAAATTAGCAACATAAATAGGACATTATGATCATAATGCATATGTATAGATGTATACACGGACGGACAGACAGGCAGACAGATAGGATGCATTACACTCCTCAGATGCACAAATATCATGTATGTGCATTTAGACTTTCAAATATGTTTGAGAGATAAATTCACAATGTTACCACTATTTATTGTTTGAATAAAGTAAATAAATGTTTGTTACTGACTGGCTGTACTCCCAAGAGCAGAAAAAGGGAATACATGGATAAGACGGTTTCACGCTGTGCGTATGAATGTATAATCAGATATAAGCATTTGGTGGGGGGTCAGGTTTTCACAGATTTCAGCTATTTGCAGGTTTGGGTTGTGACCACTCACAGTACTCAGTCCCACCAGTTTTTCATCACTCTCCGATAAGGGAAATTCACGCAAAATAAGCAGATTCCCACAATTTTCCATGCCAATGAATAATTGTGAGTTTACTGCAAATTTTCTGCAAAAATTTAAAAAACTTTGGGTTTAAGTCGCTGCTCACTACCTCCACACAGCAAAGCCTCGAACAATTTCTTGCAATCAGACTTTCTGTTTCAAATGTTCATCTTCAGGAATTTTTGGCCAACGTCTGGAGGACACAGTGCAGTTTGAGAGGAAGTTTGGCCCCCGACTGGCACCGCTGTTGGTAGAGCAGTGTGTGGACTTCATCAGAGAGAGGGGCCTGGATGAGGAAGGTCTCTTTCGGATGCCTGGACAGGCCAATCTGGTCAAAGATCTTCAAGAGGCCTTCGACTGCGGAGACAAGCCTTTGTTTGACAGGTAAAGGGCAGAGGTTGGAACGTTTGACAAAATCCAATATCAAGTCTCTGTGACTTTTACAGTTCTGATAGTACTTTTTTTTTTTTTACATGTACTGATTTACAGTAACACAGACGTCCACACGGTGGCATCCTTACTGAAGTTGTACCTGAGAGAACTGCCTGAACCAGTCATTCCTTTCTCCAAATATGAGGACTTTCTAACCTGTGCACAGCTTTTGGCCAAAGACGAGGAGGAGGTTTGCATGGTTTATTTGTAAGGAGTTTTGGTGCCATCATGTTCACAATAACTAATGTATTTTGTTTTAAATCAGGGGATCCAGGAGCTTGGGAAACAAGTTAACACTCTACCTCTGCCTAACTACAATCTCCTCAAGTACATATGCAAGTGAGTCCTCTTCCTTTCAACGCAACCTCAGCAAACAATTTGTCTTTCTTTTAGCCTAACTTTGGGAATGTTTTGTTTTTTCAGGTTTCTTGATGAGGTTCAGTCCCACTGCAACGAGAACAAGATGAGCGTTCAGAACCTGGCCACAGTATTTGGACCAAATATCCTTCGAACCAAGATGGAGGACCCGGTTACTCTCATGGAAGGTATGAATACCAAATACACGACGGCTCGCAAATGTTTTCATACCCCTTAAACCTCTTTACATTCTATGATGCTTGAACACCAACACAATGTAGTGCATAATTGTAAAGGGAATGGTTTCACTGCTGGTTTTCTTTGATATTTATCAAGCCTTTATTTCATTAAGGTTTCAAGGTCTTCACAAATCTTTGCATTTAAATTCAATTACACTGAGGGCGACTCAACTGGAAACTTTCTGAATGCAATTCCACTGAGTTTTACTTAAAGGTTTTAGAGTTAAGGGGGTTAAACAGAAATGCACGCCATGCTTTTCAGAAAAACATAAAAACTCCATACTACTTTGTGTTAGTCTTTTGCATAATTACAATAACCTTTTGCATGCACATTGTCCAGGAACTTCTCTGGTCCAGCACCTAATGACAGTCCTCATTAGGGAACACCAGCGATTATACTCAGGGAGGGAGCACGAAGGACCTGCTTTGCCCCTAATGGAGTTACCTGCCCAAGGACATCAGCTCCAACACCGCAGTCTGGGAGCGTGGATATCTGAGGAGGACCTACAGAGCGGTCCAGGTTCCAACACTGAACAAGAACTCCACAGCAGTGCCTCATCTCTGGACACCAAACTGTCTGCGGCCATCACCCCTAACCCAAACCCTGGACCAAAAACGGCGCCTTCAACGGGGAAAGGAGAGCCCGTTGTCAGTCCAAGTAAACAAGCCAAGACCATGCCTTCCTGGAAATACTCTTTCAAAAGTTCTTCAACTCCCCGTTCACAGCCACAGGCTAAGCAAGTTATCACAGGTGCCACAGTGGCAGATACAAGTGCTCCTTCCGGTGGTGGAGGTAACTGGCTCATGAATGGTCTGTCCTCCTTGAGAGGACACCGCCGCACTTCTTCAGGGGAGCGATCCACCAGAGATCGTGACTCTACCGGGTCGTCCCAGAGATTGTCCACTTATGACAATGTCACGTCTTCCTCCAGCACGGGGAGCGTTCCCAGTGTTTCCAGCACACCGTGGTCGAGCTCTTCTTGCGATATCTCCATTCCAGACTCCGGCGGAGAACCTCAGACACATCAGAACTTTGGAGGTGGAGCGGATAGCGATGAGAGGACTGAGTGGACAGAGAGCCAGAGGGAGACTGAGAGGGAAAAGGAAGAAGGGAGGACGATGGAGCCAGGGGTGGACATGGACGGATGTGAGGCCATGGAGCTTTGCAGCAGCAGCGCAGCATTCGGTGAAAGCGAAAACGTACTCACGGTGGCAGGAGTGCCGTCCATTATTATGACAGAAGTCGGAGATGTGACTACCCTGACCCTGAACACTCTAGTGGAGGAACTGAAGGAGGAGTTGAGGAAACAGAGGACAACATATGAGACCAGGATTCAGAAGTAAGTAGAGAAAACAGGATCTTTGAACAATGAAAAGCAAAAATACTATTTTCTTATTTTTATCAGCATGTATAACTGTTATGACAGCAGCCATATGCAGCTGGATATTATTTATGAATCCTGCTGTTCTGTTTCTGGCTTCTGAGGTTTATTAGAGAACATTAGAAAACAACCAGCATTATGAAAATTAAGGAACACCGCACACAGGTGAGGGACAATGCTGTGGAGAGGTTTAAAATAAGGTTAGGTTTAAAATAATATCCTTTGACCACTGTTCAAGCCATAATTTGTGAATGGAAAGAGTTTGGCATAAATGCAAACCTACCAAGAGATAACCGTCTAAGAACCAGCTAAGAACCTAGGCAACAGGAACAACAATCACACAAGCAGCCATTTTAACTGTGGAGGTGTTGATCGCAAAGACTTTGTGAAGTTAGACAGTCAAAAATCAACTGTAATGACTTGGTCTGTCATAAAGGAAAAAAATGTTAGTCATTCTGTAAGATATGTGACAGTCTCAAATGAGATACTTAATTAGCAAGCTAGCTAGTCAGCTTGCAAAATGCAGATTCGGAATAGATACATCATCTCATACGATCACCCCTGACTTTTGTCTGTCATCTGCTGCACCCCTTCAGATTGGAAGAGTCCAGCACAGCGCTGTGTGCCCAGGTGGAGCGTTTAGAACAAGAGATGGAGCAAGAGAAGAAGAAGCAGCGCATGCTGGAAATCAAGCTGCGGAACTCTGAGCGGGCGCGGGAAGACGCCGAGAATCGCAACCGCCTCCTGGAGAAGGAGATGGAGGATTTCTTCTCCACGCTGGGCAATCTGGCCCTGGGCTCAAGGACAAGCGACATTTGACTCAACATGAATTTCCTGTTTTAGCATTAGCAAAAAAAGCGGCACAGCCATCAACTGACGTCTGTGGGCTTGAAGCAGCAGGATGCTTCTTTAAGGAAATAACTAACAGTAGAAGAAAGAAAGGAAGCACTCTGTTGCACATTTCCAACAAGCTTGAAGTTGATGAAAAGAAACGCTGAAGGACGCCAATGTCGTCATTGATCTGCGAGACGGTGCTTAGGAGGGTTGACTCTTTGGCATGCTTAAAACTGAACATGAAGATGGAGCTCCTATAGTTAGCATTCCCCGTTCACTGAGGTTTCATGTTTCTAATGAAGGCAGTGTCATAAACGTCTCAGGTGCCTGTTTCATGACTGAAACGTGGTAACATAACTTCCCCAAAGCTTTGTGCCGGAGAGCGCTTTTTCAACCACTATTTTCCATTGGTCTTGTGCTAACACTGTAGAATTGTAGGAAGCATTTATTATTTATTTATATTTACAGAAGCAATAGTTTGAGATTTGATCAAATCTGCTTTTTGCCTTTTGCTTGATAATGTGATTCTCAAACTTTTTATAACTGTCACCATCTCAGTAAATATCACACTTTTGGGCCAAAAAACACCATCTTGTCCAGATATATATTATTTATGTTGTCACTTATTTTAAAACTGTCACAACAAAATATGGAGTTTTTCAATTTCTTTAAAGGTCTCCAAGTCAGAGTTCCCAGTGAGAAACATAGTTTTTTTCTCACCGGCCCCAATTTAGAAATTCAACATGGCTACCTTCCATGTGAAATTGATAGATAAAAAGAAAAAGAAAAGGCTGTTTATGGGAATGTATGATATCTTGTGCCATTAAATCTGTCATATTCTACTGTACAACATCTTTTAAGGGAACCTGAAGAAACATTGTTATTGGCTGACAGACGTCAGCTTTGAATACAGAATTTTCCAAATCTAGCTGGTTCTTAATATGGAACTGGTTAGGCTGAGTTTTATCCAAATCCCAGATTCAAGTGTCAACTTCAGGGGCAAAAAACCTTATCAAAAGTCAGCAGAACTTGTTGCTTCACTTTCACATTACTTCCGACAGGGATTATAAAACTTTTTTTCCACTGCACTTCTATTTCGAAAATTTTCTGATGAAAGAACAGGGTCTAAATTACAGACTACATGTTCCCATCTATCTTGCAAATATTTATTGCTAAATTTAGCTAAAATTCTTGTGAAGGGAGTCCTAAGGGATTGTACCTTAGTACCTTAGTTTGAGAACTACGGCCTTAGGTAAAATAAAACTTTGACCAATATTTGTACCCAAATATGTACATATGTTGCTGCTACTTGCTATTTGTTAGGATAACACCAGATCAAGAAACAACTAGCCACATAAACTCATTGAAAAAGTTCTCAAATACTCAGTAATGTATGGTGAAATCTACTTCTGTTCAAATGTTGAGACTATTTGATTAGAAAAAGGAGTTTGGGCTGGGTTACCCAAGCTAACTGGGTTTAGCTATTGCATACATTGCTAGGTCAGTTGATCATTTGCTCAGTTGTTTGTTTTGGAAAAATGAACTAATCAGTGGTCAGTGTGTCTTCCTACCTGGTCGAATAAAATGATCTGAATACAAGATAAGCAATTTACCTTTAAATAACTTGGCTGATTGGATAATGTGCAACAACAACTTTAGCAGATGTCTTTCTATTTTCCATATTTGTACTTCAAACATTGTGGGGGAGGTTTAACATTATGTTTGTGTATTGTGTTAACAAAAGGAGGTATCAATGAACTAGATTTTCAATTTCCTAAGTAAAACCTAAACACATCTGGACTGGATGCCTGCCACAGCTGCCTCAATCCCATTCTACATGGTTTCTGAGTCCATTCAATGGCAAATCCTGGCTGCTCTGTTGGGCCCTCACATTGTTAATGTCTGTCAGGTATGAAGGGTTACGTTTACAATTCCTCAATATTTGGTTAGCATTAGCAAACAAAATATTTACCCCCAAATTAAATATTTAGTTGGTATTAGAAAACAACTATATTTAGATTTGAACTAAGTTCTTAATTTGCTAATGCTAGCTAAAATTTTAGCTCCAATCTAAATAGTTTTAATCTAACTAGTTAGTTTATAGACTAAATATTTAGCTTGCTATTTAGATTCAGACTAAATATTTAGACTAAGTGTTTCTTATCTGAAAAATTTAGTTTGGAGCCAGATAACAAAATATTTAGTTTGCAAATGCTAAATATTTAGTTAGCCAATGAAAACTAAATATTTTTGGTTGGAGCTAGACATTTAATTTGTAAGCTAAATACTTAGTTTGCTAATTAAATATTCAGCTTGAAGCTACATATTTAGTTCGCACAATAAAAAAATGCAGCTTGCTTATTAAACATTTATACCTTGAAACTGACAGACGCATTAACGAGTGAGAATAAATCTGTAAGGTGTGTTAAGTTGTAACGTGATTGGACGTTTTGAATCAAGAATGCATCAACGCAGTGAACTTTTGGATGCGAGTAAAGATCCTTCTGGGGCTTAGTTGTTAGATCCACATTGTCGTAATGAATGGCCGCAAATGAGAAATAAAGACAACTGTCACACAAGACAAAGGTGAACCTGAACGTGTGAGATGGAGAACACGTTAGTCGACGCCTTCGCACAATAATTCAGCGCAAATGTTAATGTGTCTCTGTACAGCTAGCTTTTGCTAACGTCACGTCAGCTGAGCTCAACTTTCCTTCAGCTGCTTTTCCTTAAAGTGTCGTAAAAAGTTCGTCGTCGTCTTCAGAAAGAGAAGCGCTGCTGAAGCAGCTGATTTATGCGTCGCGTCTTGCGGTGACAGTAGCAGTACCGTTTCTTTATGTCAGGATTTCTCATATAAAGACAGACATTCTTTCTATCTGTCGGTGGTTCCGACCCAGGCTGCCTGTAGAACCGGGCCTTTAGCAGAATGATGAAGTTGATGTCAGAAGTTTCTCTGCAGCTGAAGCATTTCTGTGTTTAGGGCGAGGCGGGTTTTGTCCCGCTACTGCGAGGACATGAAAATATAAATACAAACATCAACTTTTATTTACAAACCAGTGCATGAAAAAATTATTCTTGCCCATAATTTGATAGTTAGATGGTACAGATTCGCCTTTCCTTCTCACCATGGAGTCTGAACAACATGGAGGCTGAAACTGAGTCATTCTTAGACTGAGAACAGCCAGACTAGTTTATTTTGATAAATAATTGTATTTAGCCAAATATTATTGCTGAGGGGAAAAGCAGGCCTACTGACACAAAATAATAAAAAACAAAACTCAAAAGGGCACTAGGGGCATCAAGGATGAAAGGGGCAGGGGCTCAGGCCCCCATTGCCCCCCTGCATGTGCCCGTTTGCGACCAAAACAATTGAAGTCTCCATAACAACAAAAAGAAGTAATTATTTTTTTCGTAGCACGTCTCACAGCAACCATTAGCATTTAGTATCTCTTATTATGAGGATTTGACGTTTCCCTTACCTTTTTATGGAGGTAAACAATGGGTTCTATTCAGTCTTGGTTGTTGTTGTCCCACTTAACCCTCCCAGAGTCATAGTGCGGCAGATGGCACGGTCGGTCGGACTATGGGGAACAACCAACCATTTTCCGAAAGCTCACGCGACATTAGTGCAACCGACTGGACTGTTTTTAGACTGCAGACAAGGGTAAGTTTAAGCTAGTTGCTATATTTTGTTGCTGATGTAGCTCCACACTTCTCTAGATTAACTGAGTGCCGTTTTCTCTCAACTTTCTTAATTTCAATGGGAAGCGAGAAAAAATATATTTGTATGAAAGTCATTGATAATTAAGTCAAGATTTACCTAAAAAAAAAAAGTGTAAACGTATCAAAAGCGTTTCAGCTACATACATGTTTTGGAAGTTATGAAAATAACATCAAAAATGCTAGCTAAAAAATTTAAACATTTGTTTTCACAATAAAAAGACATGCAGTCACTAATCAAATCAAAGTGTATTTCTTTATTTGCAGTAGATGTTCTTTCCATTTATAAGAGGTGGCATCACGAGATCCCAGTGCATGTTTATTTAGTGCACTTTTTTCCCCTCCCACTGGTTGCTGTTGGGACGCACAGATCCAGAAATTCTTAAAACTAGTAGCATGGCTGGATTCACTGGCAGACATTACAAACCAGCACCGTAGTATACATAACAATTTCTTGTAGGTATTTACTCACTTTTCTTTTTTTTTTGTGCATCTCATACTAATACAGCCCACATCAAAATAAAAATAAAATAAAATAAATCTATCAGACCAGGGTTATTTGATGAAACATCAGTCTCTCCATCAAACCCTGACAGAATTTTTTGGGTTGGTGTGACAGATTGCGTAACATTATAACTATAAAACAAGTCACAAATAAAAATCAGTCTTATTTGTAAAAAACAAAAAATAAAGAAAGAAAACATGAATTGACAGTACCAAACATTTTCTTTACCTTCAGGAAATGCTAACAAATGCTAAACCTATACATACAACTAGCATAGTTTGCTGAAGGTATTGCACATTTAGTAAAAAAAAACCAACAAAAAAAAAAAAACAATACAATAATTCTTTTACTTCTGGGTGAAGTATACATAATGTACAAAACTAGAAGTCTGCTTGAAACCGACAAATAGTACACTTTCAAATAAATAAATAATGGAATCTGTTATTCACACACCTTTGAAAGCTCATTCTGCAGGTGACAAAATATTACCAAGAACTGACAGAAATTCAGCGTGAGGTAGTTCATCAAAGTCGACTTAAATCAGAGGAGATTTGCTGAGAGACGAAGGAATACTACTAGAAAAACAATGGAAAAACAAAACCAAAAAAAAAAAAACAATAGCACGGATATGTATATGACTCAAATTGATGCCCCCAATGTTGGGCGAAAAAAATATTAAGAGCACTTCTGACAATATATCTTTTCCTGATCTGCTTTTTTCCCCCTCTTTGCTAATATCAGTACTGGATAAATGCCACTGTTTGCCTCCTTATTAAAATTACAAATTTTTTTTCAATGGAAGCTTATACTCTTCCACTGTAAACTACAGCAACTGTTGCACTGAGTTTTAGATTTGATGGATTTGGCTGCAGGGGCATCAAAGTTACTTCGTAATCATTCTGATATTCTTTTTAAAGCGGGTTGCACCAAATAAACTCGCTACAAAAAGCAGTGGTATGCTTAATACGTTAACCGCTCCTTCGTACGCTAGCGCTTGCTTGCTAATAAGTCAAGTTCAAATATGAGTGGCAATAAAAGGTTATTCCCCCCAACACCTGTGCGACTCAGAATATGCTTTTTTTTGGTGTTTTATTCTGTTTCAGAAAAACAAAAAAATTTAATTTGCAACTTAAGATCTTACAGCTTCTTGTTATACTAACAGCTACTCAATCTTTTGTGAAAGCCAGTGTTTGACTTTGAGCTAAATTTGTTGAAATGTAAAATAGAACTTGTTATATGTATGCATATATAGCAGTATAATTAGCTGTTAAATGTATTACATTCAAATAAATTAAAAACATTGTCTAAATAATAAAAAGAATAAGTTATCTGTCAGTGTAGAAACTAGAACAGAATTATACATCGCGCTGTTCCTAACCTTCCAGGAGTTTTGGAGAAGCTAACTTACTACTTGATGACATAATAAAATATATTGTTGACCTTAGCATCAATATATTTAGCTAATAAATGATAATCCCATTTGTTTTAATGGTTGTCACCAAAAAATAGAATTATTGCCCATGATCAGCTGTCCAAATAAGTAATTTGTCAATAAAACTAAATATGAAAAAAAAATAAGGTTTTGTGGCTAGTTGATGAGGTAACTTTGTTAAGGTATTACATAATGAAGTTACATATAAAATGCCTTTAGTTATTGACATTAACACCAATATGTATTGCTGGTAACCGCTTAACTGCATGCTTCGTTTCTAGCTAATCTTTATTGGTTGTCCTCATTTCTGTTGCTATGTTTTATTCATAAAATTTGCTGTCGAATTAGTGAATAATAAAGTTATTCTTGCTTTTATTTAATCGACCGATAAAATCACTTGGAAGCGAAAATGATTTCACCGAGTTATCGTTTGAACTCGTGATAAATAAGAAACACTTAGCGGGTTTTTTTCCCCATCTTTTACAAAACGGATAATGACTTCACAGATTAGCAAACATGATAAGGAATAATTAATTATCTGGTGTGTTTACGATGGAGCGTGTGTCAAGTTTTAATGATGCAACCCGATTTAGTAAGTTAAGCTGCACGTCTGCCAGCTCTTCTGACACAGATGTGCGAACTCGCAACAGAAACTGGAGCAGACGGTGTCGTCTGTGTTGACCCAGATGACGAGACGCCAAAACCGATTGCAGCAGCGAGCTACAGCTTACGCTACCACGGCGTGAAAATAATCATATCGTTTGGCGGCTCGTCAACAAGCCAATCTGTTGCTTCCCTTTTCCAAGTAGCCAATTTCACCGTGGGAACTCGACCGGACCGTAATAGTCGGGTTATGGAACTTAAAACGCTTAATCCAGTAATATACATCAACTTAGAACGTTAAGAAAATCTCTCTTTCAATTCAAACATCTGACAATAACAACCAAAAAGGAAATCCTAAAAACTGTTTTTAACATGTTCTGGTCGCTGTGAAACAGAGACTTCTTCTCACTTTGATGAAAGACCTCTGAAATGACAAACACTTGCTAAAGCTCCCCAGTTCCTTCAACGCTTTCCTTCAATTAGACCTGCGAGACGACGCTCTCCAGTTTCCAGGGTCCAAACTCAAAACAAGTTTAAAAAAATAGACATTTTGTGAGAACCACAACCCCACCACACTACTGTTTTGACACAGACACTACTGTTGTTACCGAGACACCAGAAAAGTTTACGCATCACAAACACACACCCTTCCGGCAAAACGCAGGAATGAAGGACGAACGACAGGCACTTTACCTTTCCAGAATCAAAACACAGTCAAAGGAGGGCGACGTTTATTGCCTTCGATAAGAATAGGTTGAGTCCGTTTGTTTGGCCGACACACACGCACAAAAAAGAAAAAAAAAAAGAAAACTCCCTTTTTCGTTTTCAATTTCACATGTAGTTGGAGTTCCTCTCCATGACACCCAACAGATGCACATCAACAAATCGGAATATCACTGAAAAGTTGATCTACTTTGACAACTCAATTCAAAAAGTTGGGACTTTTGTATTATCAAGACAGACATTTATTTTCTGCATTTATGGCTATAAGTTGCAGCTTTTAAAAACCCAAAATTTAGAAGTTAGAAAAAAAGATATTACATGGAAAAAAAGATGTGAAATACAGAAATTTTTTGGTTATGCTTAAACGAAACCGTAGGAAAGTCAGTTGATGCTTTTCCATTACAGACCTACGCAAAACTTTGTCAACATTCTGCTAATGTCGAAAAGACAGAATTTTGCAATCGCAAGGTTTCCATTACATAAGAAATGGAATATTGCAAAATAAACTAATATGCTCAAATAAATTCATGCTAGTGCTAAAACGTATCAGAAGGCAAATTTATTCAAATTTGGCGTGTTTTCATGTAGCGAATCTGACTTCGCTCTGTCAAATTGTGCGATTACATGGTCAATGGAAAGACCGCTAACATCTACTAGATGAGTTTCCATAACAAATGTCTGCAACGCTTCTTCAGTATTCTAATGTCGAAAAAGCACAATTTTGCAACTGCAAAATTGCATAAGAAAATTTAAATCACACGCAAATAAGTTGGTTTACGTGATAAGCAATTTTAAAAATGCTGAGTCGTCATCCTCCAATTACCACCCGTCTTCTTTTTTGTGGTTTGCAAAAGCGGCAACAACCAAGGTCACCTCCGTGCCACGCCGCATTAATGCAGCAATTCATGCAAAGACAGCTCTGAACAAGAATTGAGCATTTATGTGTGGATCAGAACGTCAATATTTCTGTTCAGTTTTTATTAGTTTTATGTAATATTTAAATGATCTGTGAAGCGAGTTCACCATAATCATCAAAACAAACAGAATTAAGTATTGTGTATAGTTGATCTATGCAGTAATAGTTTTATGTTTTTGAATGAGTTAACAAAATAACCTTTTCGACGACATTCAAATTAATTGAGATGCATGTTCACCTGCTTTCCCTACTTTACCGAAGCACATTCCAGTTTCGCCACCGACGTCACAAACCTCACAGCACTTCACGTTTTTAAAGAAACTCTCAAATCACAACAACAAATCCTTCCACAGAACTTTACCACCCCACCGGGTCCACGCCGCTCGCTACCAGGAACTTCAAAATTAACTGACCCCACATCTTCCCTCTTCTAGGCTAAATATGACGAAAGACTCAACCAAATCTCAGCATTTTTTTTCCAAATGGGAAGTGAAAAATATGAAAATTATAAAGCATTCATAAAAAGTGACATTTTACAATGTAGGAAGTAGTAGTGACTCATCGTGAGCAACCTGTTTTTTTCTTTTCTTTTTGCAAAGAAATCAAAATTAGTTTCAAATAAATGGATATGTCATATGCAGCCAAAAAAATATATAATAAAAATGATCAAGATTCATAATGTTTTAGACCAATTCAAATAAGGGAAGATCAAAGAAGAATCTGGGAATTAAATAAGGTTTCAAAGGCTCACCGAAAGTTTGTATTGAAGATGAAACTGACAGCTACCGTCGAATCTGTACAAACGTGATCTACGATTATATGGCGAGTTGTAAAAAGCAGTAAGAAAAAAAATATATCAACTGTCGAAAGATCTTTCAAAAAAGAAAAATAGATCATTTTAGAGACTTTACTGTGAAATAAAAACATAACCATTTTCTAAAAAAAACGAAACAAAAACAATAAATTATAGACTAAAAAAATTGATATATTAAAACAGAAACAAAAACTACGAATGATTATTTGAAAAAGGAAAACAGGATGAAGATCTGTTGTTTCAGACGTTTTTCTTAAACAGCTATCTTACTAATACGCTAAACTACTGGAGACGAGCACAGAGGGGAGGCGGGTACTGTGGGTGAGGGGAGGTGTGATAGTCATCTGCAGCAACCCACAGGGCCACCGGCCTTGGCAGCGGGGCCTGGGGGGCCTGCGGGGGCCGTCTCCAGGCTGCTGTCCGTGTCGGTCAGGGTGGGGTCGGAGGACGAGGAGGTGGAGGGACGGTGCTGCGGCTGCTGAAGGCTGCTGCTCACTGCTGCACCTGTACTATGAGGAACAGGAAAAAGGTCAGAGGTCAGTCGGTTACTGTCAGAGGGGCTGGGGAGTTGTGGGCAAGCCTGAGGCTGCAGATGGGAATTACTGCAGGTATGAAGTTTCTGTGAAAAAGAGTAAATCTGTGAAGGTGACATTTGATATTAAGAGTTAAATAGCTAAATTAGCTAAATAAACAGATTTAACTAATTGTGGCTTCACTGATTGAAGTTTACTGACTAGGTGAAACAAAATGTAATCAGAAATTTCTCATTAGATCGTCAACTAGTAATCAGTTCCACATGAGTTACTGTCAAACCAAGGAAACTGTGATGCTCAAAGCAAAGCTTTATCCCAGGTATAATTACATGAAAAGCCTTAGATAATGTGCAGTACTTTTCAGACAGGACTACTGTATGGAAATGAAAGATTATAGGTAAAGGTAAAAGGATATTTTATTTATATAGCACATTTTCAGCAACAAGGCAACACAAAGTGCTTTAAATGGAAATACAAGCAAAATAACAAACAAAAGGAAAGAGCAAAAGAGGAAAAAGCTAATAATGTTGATGCAAAGTAAATAAACTAGACACTCGTTTATTCAGGGTTGGTAGATCAGTATAAGTAAGTACCTTCTGGTCTAATTCCTTTTCTGGGTTCTAGGAGCAGACATGAAGGTTTGAATAAAAAGAAACACAATAACACTCCACCAACCTATAGACGCAGACTGTCCCCTGATGACGCCGTTCTTCGTCCTTTCCTCCCAGTCCAGGACTTCTTTATATATCAACTCTGCACAAACGGAACAACACAGGTTTCTGCATTCAGCTTCTCTGCGACAGTTCAAAATGTAACAGGGCGAGAAAGGAACCGGTCGCACAGTTTGGTGATCTAAACGTGGCGTCTTTGTGCATCACGGTTATGTAAAGACTTTGGTTACTTTGAAAATAAACTTATAAGGATTTACTGTAGAAAGAAAAAAGTGGAAACACACAACACTGAGAAAAACAAGACAAAACTGATTGGTTTTATGTTCCAAGCTGTTTGAATCTGCTTGACAAATCTACAAGACTTTTAAAGTTCTGCTTTTTTTTTTCCACACATTTTTCTACATGATACAAAATGAAATATAAAAAGTGGAAAAATGTGGAGAGTCTAGTGAGGAGTGTCCATCAATCTGTTGTCTAAGCAGAAAAACCCAGATTCAAACCTTCTTGCTGCTAGGCAACAATAACTATCCACCACACAGCCGCAAGAGGCGATTATTAAGTAAATGACAGTCATATTGGTGCAGAGTATTGACAGCGTAAACTGATATTTATTAAATGTGCCACAGTAACATTCTCCGGGTTGGTTTAGTGTAAAATTATTCAGGAAATGCAAGTTTGCCTCTCAAATTCCTGTGAAATGATCCCAAAAATAAAAGACCGTTTCAGGCTTATTTTAAACCTGCATGTGTCACTCCGATGTTTCCACATCGCCGAGTTCCACCACAACATCAGGAAATGTAGGATTTCTGGGTTAGACGGCGTGACGCGCCGTCTGTTGGCGGGGTGTGAGTGAGAAAAAGACGAGAGCTTCCGCTTTACCTTTCCACTCCTCCACTGTGTGCTCCCGCTCGTCCAGCTGCTTGTCTGTGATGGCGGGCGGCGGCTATAAAACAAAGCAGAGACAGAAACGCGCGGTCGGATGCTTTAGTCTGCCTGTTGAATGTTTCTCCTCAACAACGGGCAACGGGAAGCAGAAACATTGATTGTTAAATGACCGTGGATTTCAGAGTGACTGAACAATCATGCATCATGTGGTTACATCTAATCCTAATCCACACCTTGAATTTTTGTGGTTTGTGGGATGTTTCTATTTTATAATATTGGATTGGGTGGATGAAATGTCCAAAACTTTGGATATTGTGTTATGACCATAACATCGCTTTAAAGTGCTCAACATCTTCATCTTTGTGTGGTTTTCTTCACACACTGGAGGTCAAAGTTGCAACATTTGTGACATTTGTGAATGAAACACTTTTACCTCCTCACCTGTGGAGGCGCTATACTAAAAAACACAGCGGGAAGCAGACGCTGAGCGCAACTTCCTTCTTCACAAAATAGAAACAAAAATGGAGTTCCATCAGAATCGTTCTTTTGTCTTTGATAAAAAACAGAGTTATTTCTCTTGTTAGCGTTACATTTGTACATTTGCTTTGTGGTATTTACCCAGAATGCCCTGCACAATACTCAACCTCCAGCTTCTGGAGCGGTCTCCGGTCTCCACGGTGTTCACATATGAGCTCAAACTGTACCAGAGTTCACTTCAACTGAGCCCAGTCATAGGCTTTCAGGCAAAACAGAGAGCACCTCAAAAGCAAGGAGCTGACCAGCAAGGAGCACAGGGCATTCTGGGTAAATACAACCAAAACAAACAAGTGTCTAGAGCTAGCAGGCGAAATCGTGATCTTTTCTCAAAGATAAAAGAGAAATCCAACAACCCCTGAAATCTGACGGCACTCTTTGTTTCCATTTCTTGACGAAGGCAGTTGTGTTTTGAATCTTCTTCAGAGGTCTTTGTGTCGTTTCCTTCAGTGGTTCTTGGTGCAGCGCCCCCCACAGGTGACGAAGTGAACCAATTTTTCCAACAGGTTTGGTTCAAAAATGTGGTTGTGGAGAAATCCTACAGCCACTAAAATACAACACTCCATTTTTGGTTACATTTTGTGAATGAGGGAATTGCGTCTGAAAACGCAATAAATGTTGCAATTTTGGTTTTCTTTTTGTAAAATTTTATGCTGAATCAGATTGTTTGATTAAACAACATGGTTAAAACCAAGAAGAGGTCAAGAGGGGATGAATAAATTTCCAGAGAACTGTAAATATTTAGGGTAAAACAAAAAAACCTACAATATTATGTATTCAAAACAACTAGGTCTCAGTTTTCATTTTACGCTTTGTACACATTGTTGATCTTTTTTTCTTTTTGCCTTAATGGATTCACATGTTCATCCAACCCAGTTACTTCTCATCCACAAGTTAAAGTTTGTTTGTACGGATCAGAAACGACCCGTCTTCTCCATCCAGAGACGGCCTGAGAGTTGATATGATAACGAGGCGCCACACTACCGTGCATTTAGAGATGCACTCATCAAATGTACATGTTCAGCGTTGGTGACACAGAGGAGACGAATGAAAGCAGCCATTTGCTCCATATGCCAATCTGCCCTATTACAGCCATAAATCATCATGTGTCGGATGAGTCACTGTGTTTCTGAAGAAAGTTCTCGTGTTTGTCACTGAATTCAAAGGCTGAACTTTGCAGCACAAATGTCTACAGGGTTTCTGTAGCCTTCACAAGCGCAAATTGAAATTTAATTCACGAATTAAATTTCAGTGCATCAAGTCTTGCAACATCATGGTTTTGTTATAGGCTGAAATGTGCTGTTCCTTTAAATCGCTTTCTTTACTTGCCATCATCCCGTGTGGCTTTCTATTCTGTATTAGCCACCAACAGAGCAACACTCACATGTCTGTGGTTTGTTTGTGGCTCTTGGTAGGAGTTTTATGCTCGTCACACTGCATATGGCTTTCTATAATCATAGTAAATGTAGCGTCATATGGGTTGGCAACAAAGGCGACACAATGGCGAAGAAAATGAACACCATCCAGCTAAATGCAGATAAATTTGCACTATGAGAGACGCAAGAAAAGAAAAAAAGCAAGCTAGCTAGTTACCGTCAGCCTCGACTACCTTGAGTAACATGGACACAATGAAGTTGTCGACAAAAACAATGGATTGATTTACATAGACATCAACGGTCCTGCCACTGCAAAATTTAAGATTTATGTTTAACATATTTAAAGCCAACTTACCTTTTGATTCATCAATTTCAGACATTTTAAAGTTTTAAGTATGATTAATGTGTGCAACTACAGAAAGAGCTTCTCCAACAATACTTTTAAAGTACATATTGAGAGTTACATTCAATTATCCCACAGATTTAAATATGATGATTGCTATGACTTGCTATTGATGCATTTTCTAAATAAACACAAATAAGGTAGGTTCTGTAGCTTTGAGAGATCAGTCCATCATGACTTGTTTCTAACGTATCTGTGGTTTGAGCTGGAGTACTTACTGCCTCCACTTCAGTCGGATCGTACCACACGTTAATGTAAGGGTGCTGGAGAGCCTCGTCCACAGAGATCCGCTTGGAAGCGTCTATTACCAGCATTTTGGATAGAAGGTCCCTGGCTTGACTCGCTGAGAGGAACGAGAAAAGAAAGAAAGAAAAAAATCAGGTTAGATATCTAATCTGTTCCAGCTGAGTGGGTTTGTCGTTTGGAAGTGTGATTCATTTCCAGCTGGAACCAGATACAAAAATAGCTACGAAAAAATGAGCAAAACAAGGAAAAAGGCTTATTTTAGAAAATTATGAAGGATCACAAGAGTTTTTAAGGAGCTGGAATTAAACGGTTGCGATAAAAGTTTAAGGTTCCTCCAGGTTAGATTCCAATCTCTGCTCGATCAAGTCATTTATAGATGTAGCAGCCATTTTTAAACTAGTTACCTGACAGGTTAGAGATCTCTTACAAAAAGAAAAAATACTTTTGTAAGTTGATGTAAACGTTCACACCAGCTTTTTAACAGACTGGGAACCAAAGGAAGACCAACTGGCGCTCACCTTTCAGCTTGTTGTGTTCAGAGTCAGCAGGGAACAGGACATCGGGGAAGAGCTTCTCAAAGCTGTAGCCGGCGTAACGCGGCCGGTTCTCTACGTAGGTCCTCACCGACTGGTTGAGCTTCATGAGGAACTCCTGAGACGGCGTCCCCAGCTGCTCAATCACCTTGTTCCACTGGTCGATATCTTGGGTGGATGATATTAAGAAAACTACAGGGATGGATGTGCAAAGGTTCCAATCGTGGTCGTAGGTGAAGAGGAAAACGCATTTTTCTGAAGATGGATGTTTTCCAGTCAGCCTCACTGAGAGGACCTACTTACCAACACTGGCTTCTTTACACTGTAAGGAATTCTAATGACCGCTAACTGATTGTTTTACATGTCAGCTGAAGGTTGAGTTGATCGCCTTTGACTAACCCAGAGGCTGAAATATAAGAATTTGGTTTTCTTTGTCATGAGAAAAAAAAAAAAAAAACACCACATAAATACAGCTGGAACACACAACACACCTAAATGCTTGTTGACATCTTTGTTCCACCTTTACAATAAATACAAAGGATAGGATTGTATGTATAAAGCTGACTCAAGATAAGAAAATTAGGAACATGCTGTCTGTGACTTCATATTTCATTACAATAGCTGGCTTTTTTATGGTCAAAAAATAACACATTAAAGCTCTCAGAATGATTATTTTTCCAAATAAATATGGTTTTTCTTCAACTTGGTTTGTTTTATGAAACGCATATGGACATAACTTGAAGAATTAACAGCATATTAGCCTAAATATGTGACGAGTTTCAGCACAACTGGTAAATGACATTTATAAACTTTTTCAACCAACAAAATGAAAGACCTAAATTAATGTGATTGCATAAATGTGTGCATTCTTAAAGGGTATAAATTTAAACTAAACATTCTTTTTTATACACATCTATTGAAACTTTCATTATGTCGCGACAGTATAAGTAGATCATTTTATTATTACCTCATAGTATTTAGCGCTAGATTGGTTGTTTCCAATGCTAACAATACGCAACCAATCAGATTTAATTTATCTATTTTGTTTTTTGCAGAATAATTTGGTTTGTTTTCCACTGAATTGTCCAGGTTTTACATCACAATAAAGGTTGAAAAAGTTCTGAAATCATTAATTGTGGCCAAATTTCTTTTTTCAACGTGACAAAAACTTGGTATGAGGGCAAGGGAGGGGGAAAACTTTTCAAAATCCATTGTGATTTTGATCTAGCTAACACTTGTAAGTTCGGTTTCATCCTCTTATAAAATCTGTAACTCAAAGAATAATAAGAGGAACATGTGAGCAATTTTCATGCCAAGAACGTCATAGCAGAAAATCAGCCGATGCTGAAAGCTTTCTTTAAACCTGGACATCTTTGAGTTCATGAAATGAGTTTATTGAAAAAAGTAAAAAGGACTATTCTTGAATTTTCACATTGGAAAATTATGCTGAAACGCCTCAAAATGTCGGCATTCCGAACGCGGCATTGAAAGCTGCTGGAATTTATCGCTCATTTAATGTGGAGAAAACTTGAAGGTCTGGTTTTGTGTGCAAAGATGTCAAACAAACACAAGAGACCAAGTATTCAGATTACAGTGAGGTGGGGGTGGGGGAGGCAGTGGGTGGGGGAGGCAGTTGGATGGAGGTTTAACTTAAGGATACGATCAGTGCCTGGAAACAACACACTACCTCGGACCATTTCAGCCATGATGCATCCAACAGACCAGACATCAACTGAAAAATGAAATGACAACCACCAAATTAGCATGCAAACCAAAAAAGAAAGCAAACAGGGCAGCAATAAAAACAAAATGGCGGGCTGGGGACGGTGGAATAAATAAAAATCAGAAGTAAAACTCATGATGGACATGAGATGGCGTGAAAACGGAATGATTTCATGCGGTTCGGTGCATTCTGGTAGAGGTCAGGGTCCCACAAAGCTTCATCTGCTGAAACAGATTAAAAGCATATTTTGAAGGGGATTCTTGTTAGAGCGACACCGATTGCAGTTCTCTGACCGATCACTGATTAAAAAAAAAAAAGGTAAAAAGAAAAAGATCTTTCTTGTCTGAGAAGTCGCTGAATAAGGCAACAGTGTGGGTGACTATAGCTACATTCACACAGCAAATCTTGATGCCCAGTTAGGTTTTTTTTTTCTTAATGGCTAAAATCTGCTGCTTTTTTTTTTCTTTTTTGGAGTTGTCGTAAGTAAATGCGGTAGCAGTCACTGTTTTGCGAACGTTGAGAACTCTAAAGCGACCCCGCAGATGGCACGCAGCAGCGCACTGCTTATGGAAATAATAATGGATACATCCGACTATGGGTCACTTTCAAAGTCTATTCAGCAATATCAGCCAACAGCATTGTCACAAGCTCAACAGCATAAAGGAAGATATTAAAAATTAAGGATAACTAATCGCAATGGCCATTTGTGAAGCGTCGACTACAGCTTCTTCTCTAGATGCGTAGCTGGGACTATGATGTGATGCACTTCTGCAATCGTCTTTTATAATCCATAACTATAATCTCCAGCCAGCGTTTACATCTTCTGGTGCAGAATTGTGACTCGCGTTGTTTCAAGTCGATGATGTAAAAGTGGGATAAGACGCAACATGACCGTTCAGACTGCAGACGCTTTACAGCAATAAATGTTGGTTACGTCTCTGAATGAATACCAGATATGGAAGTGGCTCAAATCTGACGATTTTGGGGGGGGGGATGAAAAGAGTGCTGTGAAAAAGTCAGCTATGTGTGGGCAAAAAAATACAGATTTGGGCCACGTTTGTCAGCTGTGAGAACCTAGCTTGTTTCGAAACGCACACATGTAGAAGTGAGCTGGTGGGCGGAGCGGCCTGATAGTCGGTCCTCTCTCACAGCAGAGTGAAAGGGGACAGTGACCGATTTTCAGTGCAATGGTGGATAAGATCGGGTTCACATGCTGGCATCGGCCGGTCTCAAGCTACGTTAAAATTCGGAATTGCGCATCAAAACCTGCTGTGTGAACGTAGTCAAAGTCATAGCTAAAGTCTGTCAGCTAGTAAATGCAATCCGTGCATCCCTCACAGAAGCCCTTTCTTATTATTGCTGATTTATCGATGCATCCAAATTTGTGTTGCTGAATTTGACCTTTTTAAGAAGTCCAATTTAAGGGATGGTTTTGATGCTGAATAATCTTTTAAATGTGAGACGCTGACTCTTGTTTCTGTGCATCAGTGCACAGAATATCTACCCACTGTAGATATTTACAATTTAATGTCATGCAAGCATAACCAAAAAAAAGAGACGTCTGTTTACTGACAGAGCTATATATAACAACAGCAGCAGGAGGATAAATAAGGCTAATTTATGGTATTTTGACTTCTCCTCTGTTGAAAAGCAAACTATTAAAATTCTGTTTGGGGTCTTTCAAGTGACAGCCACGGCGCCGCCAGCGACCGCGTTGCTGCTCGAGCGGATAGAGTCGTCTGTGAATCCGTAGAGACGGCAGGTGGGTGGTAGCAAGTCACAGTGCCAGAGGGACAGGGTGCAAATTCAAAGAAATAGAATTTTAATAGTTGCATTTGACAGGAGAAAAACTGAACATGAAAGACTTGGTGCAAATGTTCCGTCAAGCAGCTCAAGGATACAATCCCTTCCAGGAAAAAGGATTTTGTGGCGAACCATTTCTGCCATAATGCAGCCCACAGCCCAAATATCCACTACATGAGCGCAGCATTGGAGGAGGGAGAAAAGAAGGGGAGCCACAGATGCAACAGGTCAGCAGGAAGAATGAGGGCCAGCGTTTCACTGTTCAACACCTCAAAAATACTGCGAGATGATCAAGCTGTAATCACCAAAAACTCACCTTGCGGTTATTGTTATGCTCTGCTCACTGGCTACCGTATCTGGGGACTATCAACACTTGCTTTCAGGAAGATGCCATTTTGATTAGGAGGGGAAAATGGAAACCTGTCATTCCTGCCAGACTGTTACACTTGCCTCACAGATAAACACTGTAAACTCATTCTGGCTCTGATTTTAGTAGAGTAGTTTCTGTCTGGCAAAAAAAGGTAAGTATTCATGTCACTTCAACTTTTTGTATCCAGGCCAGTTTTTCCAATTTCTATTTATTTAAGATTTTTGACAAGCATGAATCCTTTTCCTTCACTTTGTGTTGGTCTAACAAACAAACTAGAAGGTTGTGTTTGTGATCTCTGCCGAGTCATGCACAGGAGCCTGTTTTTCATACTGGCAGCTTTTAGCCAGGCCTTATTAAGCTCAAAATCAGAAACTTTTCAATAATACATCAAATGCATGCTGAAGCACTGCTGCCACCACCAGAGTCTTCACACAGGAAATTCAACCCACAAAGCAAGGATGCCCCACATGCCAACTTCCCCTCTGAGTGTAACCTTTACCGAATCAGTGTGTGTGTGTGTGTGTGTTTGGGAAGTGCTGCTGAAACACCTCAGCAGGAGGCAAGTGGGGTGGGGTGTTGAGACGTGCAGCGGCCCAGACGGCAGTCCCTGACTGGCCATTCCCCGCCTTCTCCATAACTCACCGTTGGCCTGGTAACCCATGCCCAGGATGACCTCAGGGGCGCGGTAGTAACGGGTCACTACGTAGGGCGTCATGAGGAGGCCGGTGGCAGCGGTCCTGGCCAGGCCAAAGTCCAGGATCTTCAGTGTGCAGTCAGACTTTACTACAATGTTGCTGGGCTTCAGATCCTGCACCGAAAACACGAAACATAACAGACCATTAAAAAGTGATGGAGCTGATGGACTTTGGTTCATTACAGGAAATCAAATGTTCTTTATCGGTTTGAGCCACTTGACAGTTCCTACAGATTTTTTACAGAAATTAATACATTTTCAGACTGAAAATGACAGAAAATTAACATTTTGAAATTATTAATCAAAAAGTTTCATAATGATGGATGGTGACATATAGTAACAGCTACTGACGGACAGCTACTGTCAGCAGGACCCACCCTGTGTATGATGCCTGCAGCATGGAGGTGTTTAATCCCACACAGCATCTGGTAGAGCAGGTAGGACAGCCTCTCGTGGTCCAGCTCCATCTGAATCACTTGACACAGGTTGGCGTCCATCAGCTCCATCACCAGATACCTGCAGAGAAACAACCCGTTACCACAAATCCTCAAAAAGGAGGCGCTGCAGCACAGCCTTCCCATGTGGGCCTGAATCAGGCTGAACTACATGAACTAGTCCTGCGTTGACGCTACTCTGCAGCCCATGCAGCAGCTGGAACTGCCATCGTCTCCAAAAATGGAGAACAAATGCCACGTTTTCACAAATTTCAACAACATGCAGTCACGGCTCCTGTGATGCACGCGTGTGCTCATGTAAACAAACAACAGGCCAAATGGAGCGTCCATCCTCTATCGCTGGCTGAGTCTGGAAGCCCTCTGGCAGGGATTTGTCCACTTTCCTTTTTAGCTCCAATGAGGCAGACAGAGCCGCATAGAAACACACAGCCATATCTATCTGTTACACACACACACACTTTCTTTGTGTTGCATTAATCAGGGGAGCGCTCATCATACTTCATAAAACAATAATCATTTGCAATTTATGTCATCTGATGTGACCGACTGAAATTTAATACAGATATACTCCAATTTTTGGAAATTTAAAAACTTACTACAGGCACATTTCTGTTGAGACAAACCCAGTTTAAAATGCTTTAAACTTCAAAGCAGGAAAATTATTTTTATTCTACAACTATTCTAATACCAATTCCTTCAATTACTATGACGATCACATTCTAATATAACATAGATAAAAAACTCCAGACTGAAAGGAAATGTGATCGCAACCAGTTCCCATAAAACAAAGACTTCCACTTTGAGCTACAGAGCAGAACTGCTGTCCTGAAATCTGTTTCATATGAATTATGTCAGGATATTTTTACAGCGATCATAAACCAAACATCCACAACTACCAGAGAATCAGTAAAAATTGACATCATTTTCAGGTTTGCATGCGCTCTGAACTGGACTGGTTCTGTCCGTTATCTTTATCAAAACTGTGTTAATGCTACACGTTGCCTTGAAATCTGGATGGAGATTAAACAATGTAGGGCTAAAATGAGTAATTATGTCAATTGTATCAATTGTGATTAATTGGTTATTGAACTAGCCATCCAGTCAATAGCAGTAATTGATTAATGATAAAATTAGGCCATTTGCTCAATAAACTGACTCGGAGCAGTAATTTAGCTAAAACTGTACAAAAATACATAAACATTTTGCATTTCAGATGAAAAAATATATAACACCTGTGTTAATATGTTTCACCCAAAACGCCTCACATAGCACAAATCTACCATGACCTGATTCAAATCTACTACAGAAATGCTTTGTTATTCCATTATGGGCAATAAAATTATTTTTCTTATTAAAAAAAAAGGAAGTGAATTGTCTCGTTTGCATCTATCGATATCTTTCTAACAACATTTCAGATGAAAAATCTGCAGGATGTGCCAAAATGTTTTTTCCGGTTTATCAATTAATCTTCTGAACAATCAAACAAATAATCGATAGCTAAAATAACAGCAAGTTGCCCCGAGTCCAACTAATAACTTCAACCTCACGGCCAGAGACACGTCAACACTCACACATCTTGGAACTCCTCCAGTGTCTTCTGAGGCGTGAATACGTTTAACAGGCCGATGATCTGGGGAAATTAAAAAAGAGGAAAAAAAGGGCTTCAAAATGCAGGACTTGTAATAATCTCTACAGACCCCACACATTCTGGACACAAGCCTTTTGAATTTTGACCTTCAGAGTGCTATTTGTTAAAAGCAGCCATCAGGGAGACAACAGTGAAAACTGTGAAACTGGACTGGCTTAAATGCATTACCAACATTTACATGAGAAATATGGCTCTTCATAAACATACATGTTCTGTTCCTTTTATTTCATATAAAGCTGGAAACCAAAGCCAGCTTCCTTTTTTTTTTAACAATATCTTATAAACGGCAGAAGGGGAAACCAGTGGTTGTGGATTGATGTATAATGGGAATACTGGTGAGCCGGCAGCTTCCTCGTTTACTCTCCGTCTCTCTCAATATGGAAGCATATCAGTAGATGTTTTTTGTAATGAAAAGAGATACAGCCCAATTAGAGGGATGGACAGTGACGGCTAACATTTTCCAGAGATTCCCTCAGCTTCCAGAGTTTGTCACTCTGGACGCTGTGCTGGCTCAACTCTAGGTCCGTTTGTTTAAAGTCGCCTTTAATTGTGTGATGGCTAAAACCAAACACAGGGGAAGAGTAGAGCGGTAGAAGCGGAGCTCTTACGTTCTTGTGGTTGACACATTTCATGAGCACCAGTTCCCTGTAGGCCCGCTTGGCGTGGGTTTGGTTCTGGAAGGGCCGGCTCAGCTTCTTGATGGCAACGTTCCTCTCCAAGTTGTGGTCATACGCTGAACTGATGAGACAGAAATAAAAAGGGAACAAGACGCAGTTAGCGATGATGAACCTGGAAAAAAATTGTATCTACAGTTACAGCTAACATTTGTTAAAAACACTGAACTGTCGTCAAACGGCAGGTTTTTTTTTTGGTCCCGGTCAGAAACCCAGACTGACCAGACAATTCCCTGTGCTCCGGATCCAATGGGTCTGAGGTTCTGGTAGCGCTTCAGGACTGTAAAAGTAGAATCGCCCACGTCTATGCTGTAGTACTCCTTTTCGCGCTTGTTCCGGTTCATGATGAAACCTTGGTAGAACTCTGGAGGCTGGGCATCCAAGAAGGGCAGGCCTCTCGAGATCTGCAGTAGACACAGAGCATGCGCTTAGGATCAATGAGAAAACTTTGCTGGAGGTGAACATTTTTTCTTAAATATTTTTAAAAAATAATTCACTTATAACCGTTTTCTTAATGTTGAAATGTTAAAATTATACTTTAAAAAACCGTGTCAGTGTTTATACCGGTCGTATCATCTTGTTTTCTTGTGAAATCCGCCGCACCTTAAAGTTCAGTGCTTAATAATTTTTGTATTCAATATTATTAATATTGCTAAAGTATTGCATTGAACATAGATGATTCTCTACCACAACAGAAAATATTAGTTACAAAAAGAAACTTTAATTTGCATCCATCTACTGACTGGTTTTAAGTGGTGGATACAGAGTTTGCTTCTGTATCCACCACAAAGCCAGATTCACGTGACTGTCAGTAAACACACCGTGAAACATCGAAATACGTCAGAGATTGTACAGATCCACTTATTGTGGATTTCTTGGTTGATTGTTGAGCTTTTTTCATGGTTGCTGTTATTAACTCTGCCTGTGAAATTCCACTCAGAGTTTTCTAAAGTATTCAGGCTTTGTTGGCTGAGAGCAGAAGGAAAACTGGAGAAACCACAAACTCTACACAGAACCAGTTCAACCACCCAGGTCCCGGCACCGGTTCAGCAGAATGACAGGCAAGCAGGTCTGACAATACCGCAAACACCGGGTTTCTGTAAGTTGAACTTAACCCAATTCAAGATTTATTTATTTTTTCCCAAAGATTCTTAGGATTTAAACAAAATCAAGTTTTCAAATAACTTGTCAAAGTTACATAGAAACGTTACATGAAATCAAAGTTACGTTTTCACATGGAAAAAACGTAACTAGCCCGTTTTGTGCATCATCAGCATGTTTGGCCCGTATATAATAAGCAACATAAGGATTAATGATCGCAATGGATGTAACAAGGATGGACAACAAACATTTTGATCGATTGTTTTTTATTTTTCTACTGATTTATAACTTATGAAAAACTCAAGGTATCAATATTTGTCTCTCATACCTTCCTCCAGATTTTTTTTATTCCATCTGTTATTTTTAACGACTCAATTCACAAACATTTTATTGATCAAATATTAATTGTTAGTACGTCTCCACAAATACACGCAGCTTTAGCATCTGTGTCTATAGAAATGTGACTTGAAACTAAAGTCAGGTCTTGTTCCTGCCGCAATAGCTGCATTTGCATTGACCATATACTTGCGCAAATGAGAAGTTCTATAATAGATTTGCTTAAAGAAAGCGCCCCAATTCTGGGAAAAATTTTGTTTTTTTTTTTATTTTCTGAAAAACTTTTGATGTTTTGTGAAATTTATCCAGTTCACAAAACTGTAATGGATACATTTTTGTTCACATCACACGATCAACAGTCCGACGTTACTACTGGCAGAAAATATGAAGAAGACACAGGAAGTGGCAGATGGTTGATGGTGTTGCATGGTTTTTAATGAATTATCACACAAACAAACTTATTCATATGTGACTTTAACTGCATTTCAGATGTAATGGAAAAACGGCCATTGCAAAAAAAAATAATTCTTTTTCTGACATTAGTGCAATATTGACAATATTTATGCACATTTCTAATGAAAATGGAGCAACTGTTTTCAACGCTAGGCTCATATGAGCAGTACTCTGTTTTGATATGACTTATTGATTTAAAAAATTTTGAAAAAAAAACCTACGCGTTATCAGCTCTAGCTTTTAGAGAGAAATCAATACATGTTGACAGTTTAATATGTCGGTATCGGTCCGATAAGTAAAACTGGAGATGTAAAAACTGACGTTTATTTACATCTCATTCCCTCCAGGTCATTTTTTATGGTGTCTATTGTCTAGGCTAGGGAAGTAGTCTACATAGGTGAATAACGGTTATTGGGTGTACCAATGCTATCAATATCATACTTTGCCCTCAGCCCAAATTTTTAATTGGTGCATCCGTACAGGTCAAATTGGACCAAATCAGCAGGACAGAACATCCCATCAGAACTCGAGACACAACGGAAAATAAATCGGTGCAACTGCAGTTATATTGAAATGGATTTCTTGTTGCGGATGAAACCAACTCTTTAAAGAGAATTGTTGTCATAAATGATCTATCTTAAATGTGCGAATGCAAGACTCCTACGAGGCTCAATGAAAGCCTACACTCACCAGCAAAAATTCTGATTCAGATGGCAGAAAATTAACCTGGCCATGCATACAATCCAAAATGGCATCAATTCCAGAGATTACTGCGGCTCTGAAATGCATCAGATGAGCTGTACATGTAGTCTACGTGAAATCTAAACGTTGGGGTTACGGAGCAGTGACCCAGGCAGAGGGAGACAGGAAGCAGGGTTTTAATGCTGGGTATGAGGATGACAAACCATTAGTGGGATTTGGAGCACTGAACTGAGAAGATATAGGCTTTGCAGAGACTTGTCTGAAAACTGCCATCTTACCTCAACCCATTCACTTTTTCCGTCAGTTAACCAACAAGTCTTTTCCTCTTCTCCCGCACCTCTATTCATAGGTAACCCCGGTTCTTTAGTTGGTCCGGTTTATCTGAACCTGAGCCAGACCTGGGAGCAGGATGCGAGCGACACTAAAGTAACAATCTGATAAAAAGTCAGTCAATTGACGTTGAAAAGACTGGTTACATTGGAACATGTGCTCTGGAAACGATAGGTAAAGAAAATAACCAATTCTACAGAGAATCTCAATTCCTAATCCTGGAAATTCTGAATCAGCGTTTGCCCCAGTGCACTATAAGCCTGGCGGGCTACCAGGCTTCACTTGCTCCCCACCAGGCGAAGTGTTAATTTATTTTAAATGGGTTTTTTTATACATCAGTAGCAGTGACATGGATGATGGATGAGATCAAAGATGAATTAAGCCATGTTTATCGTTAATGCATTGTACGTTCCTGCAGAAGCCCATCAGTCACATTCTATTATTTACAAATTATGATGCCTCCAGGTACCTCCAGGTTTTTGTAACTAGTGCCTCTACCAGCAGGCTGAAAATGTTGAAAAGGGGATTTTAAAGTGTTTAAATTGCTTGTCTTTGCAGCTCCTAATTGCTAGTCTAACGCATGTGTCACATTATGCGCTCATTCATCCGCCCTAGAAGTTTGTATGCATTTTGATGAATTCTTTATTTTTTCAAATAAAAAAAAAGGCATGCACCTAAACTAACATAATACTGATAATTTAAATTAGACTTTTATTAATACACCTATTTTTTGTTTAATTATAGACTATGAACTGTGGATCCTCCAATTAGCGACTATCCACTGCTGTGTGTTGATCACTGGTATAAAACCCCTGTGAAGCCCAGTGAATTTACGTGGCGTGACACATGAAGAGCAAGGGTTCTGAACAGCTTCTGCCTGCGCCTTTCCTCCGAGAGATGCGCGATGCTTTCTGCTTGGCTTCATCTGCGTTGTATTCCCCCTTCCCTCCTGCCACATTCACCTCATCTCAGATCAGAAATGCATCTAAGCAAAACCGTCCTGGGGCACACAGAGACGGAGGATGTGTTCACATCACTAAAGAGCCGGAGCACAGTCATCCTCCCTTACAGAATGAGGCCAACAGGGGGCTGTTTAGTTTAAAACAAACAAAAAAAAAAGACATACACAAGAGTAAACAGCGATAAGAAATCAACAGCTGTAAAAACAGTCCTTGTCCATTCTTATCAGGGACACCTTCCACACATTTTCTCGGTATCAGAGCTACAAGAGGACTGATATCCTGTTGCTTTTGATCTCTTAAGGGAAAAAAAATACAACTGGTTTATTAGTGATTGCCGAGTCCAGTGACGACACTTCACAGGGGATTTTTTTGGATCTGCAATGTGTTAGCAATGTTTGTAGAGCACATGTATTGGGATGAAGGGTGTGGAAATCACAGTGTTTCAGTGCATCAGGACGGGGTCCTGATGCAGATGTAATTCGAAATGAAGTTAGCTCTGTAGTGCTTTAGCATCAGCTTCTGCGTAATACCTTTGGTGTAGTTCTCTAGATTTAGTGCAACCAACTTTTTAGCTACTACTGAAATTAGAAAAAGACATTCTGACTAAATACATCCATATGACGATTTAATTAATTAAGGAAACACAAATCTATCCATACCAACTTGATCTAGGTGAAAAAGTGACTCGCCCTTTTCCCAAATAACTGCCTGTTACCAACCTGCCCTCTGAGCTGCTGTCACAGGGGTTTGGTTTAAATTATGCATTACGTTGTTTCCACCCTTATGATCTCAGCCAGATATGTTACATATTGGTTTATAAAATCGACATTAGCTCTGGGAATAAATAAAAGTGAAAGTCCATCCTGCTGGATGGATAGATTTCTGCTGAACAGTTTGAATTAGAGGTCAACTGATATGTCAGCCGGCTGATATTATATTGATTATATAATGTGACATAAGGTAATATTTTCCTATAATTTCTGATAGTATTTTTGTAACATCAGTATTCCATTTTCATTTCTTCCCCAATCATATAGTTTTTATCAGTTGCAATTATTTTTCATATTCAGAAGGCATTATATGCAATAATTTCATTTATTGGAACATTTCATTTAATTATTTTCTCTACATTCTTGTTTTTATTTACTGCTACTCTTAAATCAAACATTGACTCATTTTCAATATTTAATTTTTTACATTTCATCCACTCCTGTTTTAAATTGCCATTTGTTATTGTTGTGTCGTTTTTATGGTGCAAATCAAACTGGGGCTGCGGGCGGGAAACAAGTTGGGTTCACCCAGCCACCCGTCCCAAAAAAAAAAAAAAAAAACATCATGTACCACCAAATATGGCAGCCGAGCAATCTTTAGCGATTGATTACATATGTTGAAAATGCAAAGTCGACGGTAACTTGGTGCAATGTACAGAGATGCCACAAGAATACTTTTGCATCTTGTGAGTTGCAGAAAGAATAATCAGAAGTCAATTCCAATCAGTGCGTCTGTCCCCAATCTGAGAAAATCAATGAAAACACACATTGCATCTGAGCGTTTAGCAATGGCTACTGTGTGGCCATTTAAGGGACTGTTAATTATTCTGACACATCTGCCAACTTTAACCTTTGAGATGTTTCTGCCACAGCATGTTAGTTTCTCCACATAATATACAGTAACTTAACACCCCTTCATTTCACATTTAGCTCTTTTTTTTTTTTAACAAGCAGCAAAAACTGTCAGCTTAATTTGTCGCAGAAGCTGAATCACTTCTGACACGAAAATGCCAAAGCAAATAGAGCCGGCAGTAAGAGTGTATATATTTACTCCCCGCAGAAAGCATGCATTTGTGAACTGATTATTTTGCCCATGATCAAGTTCTCCCTGAACATCCAGATCCAGTTTGTGTTGACTATAACAGTGTTTAAGTTATCAGGTGTACTCTTCCTGTTTGCATAAAGACAATAATATGCACCTGAGAGGTTTGATGTATCCAAACGCAACCCAGAGGGAGGGGTCAGAGGTCTGCACCAAAAACATATAGCGCCTAAATGTTACTGTCAGTATCAAAAGCAATAGTTAACTCACACCTTGACCCAACAGTCCGACCACATTAAAGATGAAAAACCACGGCAGCATAAGTCTGGTCCAACACCAAAGACAAGTTCTAGATCAGTCAAACATTTCATAAGGCCTGAGCTTTTCTAACATCACATGTTGAAGTTAGAAGTATTTTTTTAGCTGCGGATTCCTTCTTTGTATTTTAAGCAATAAAAGCTTACTTTCATATTTAAAAAAGGGAAAAAGACATTTAAATACTTGTTTATTTGCATCGTTTTTCTAATATTGTATTAAAAGGTTGAAGAGGATAAATTAAAAATCTGCAGACTTTTTCAACTTTCCTTCTTTGTCAGAATAATCGATGGAATAAACGATGACTGAAATAACTATCAGTTAAATCCCGAGACCTAATGTTGACCAATTTTTCATACTGAAAAAAGAAATAAAAGTAAAAGTATTTATTTGTAGTTAAGCCTGATATCATACCCAGCTGTTTGATTGAGGATGAACTTTGTTTTACCACCTTATGTCTTATTTGCACAGAAACACGAGATGGAAGCTTCAGACTTGTTTGCACAGCCATGGCAGAACAGGAGGCGCCGACACCGGACAGAGACAGACCCGACCATGAATCCACGCGACTGTTGACCGAACTGACACGCGCAATGTGTCTTCAACGGTATTTGGATCTTTGCAACCAGATCAGACAAGGACAAATGGCACATTCAACCACCGACTCGGCACACATCTTTACGTACAGATGCGTGCATGCCGAGACTCTGGCCGCCTTTTACTTTTTGGTGCAGGAGTCAGGTTTCTTGGTGCATTCCCCTGCAGCAGTGTGCAGTGCATGGAGCCAAAAACATCACTACACAGGCATCTCGGATCAATAGTGGAACAAGATGCATTTGCTGGAAACACAGACAACACGCAAGCTGAAACCTACCTCAGCTTGCTTCAGCTATGATCAGTGACACTGAAGATGGGCGTGTCCGACAGAATGTTGTTCGCTGATGACGACTAGCATTGGCGTTAGCGGTCAAGTCATCAACATAACATGTTAAATGTGTACGTGATATATAAAAGACAAAGGGACACAGTGCTTTGCTACTAATCGTCAACTCTATGACGACTACAGAACGAAGTCAGGAAAAAGTTTTAATAAAAAAATAAAAAATGGGAGAAGGAAGTAGGTAAGTTTTGCTAGCTTGACTTTGACAACTTTAACTTGCATCTGTGCTGCAGAATTCTGTACGTTTCCATTCAGTAAAAAAAACAAAAAACAAAAACACACACACACACACACCAACTCTCTAGCAGATTATGAGTATATCAGGACTTTAAATTAGATAATCAAGCACCACTGTGTTAGATCAGCAAACAGCAGCAGTAGCTAATCTACCACAGAGATTACTTTTTTATGATTGCAAAATAAACATCAAACCTAAAAACATAACACTGTAACACTCATAATGTTCTGTTCTTTATGTGGAGAAATGTTTGAGAGTTCTTTGTTGTTGAATGTTGAACCACGTAGTGCTGCTGTTGTCAGTTGCTATGGCCACAAGTGCGTGTGTAGCATATCCGACACCAAGAGTGAGGAAAAAGGGCTTTTGAGTTCTTCTTCAATTGCTTTCCTATGTTATTTTCTCTTTGCTGTGGAGCACAGCATTAAATTGATAATACCTATGGGTGTCATTTAGTTAAAGTTGATGAAGGTAAAGGACGGCCCCAAATGGGTCCCCTCCTTAAGCGAAGGCTAACTCCTTCAACCTTGAAATAGCATCGATGCTATTGATATAATAGCACTAATCTGATATAGTTGACTAATCTAAATAACAGATTAAAAACAAAATATTTTTGTTGTGGAGCTCAAATATCTACTAATTCAATATTTTAGCAGCAAAAATATAAAAAAAAATTTCATTAAAATGTGAGTAATTTTGCTTGATTATAACTCAATTGAAAATTTCTCACCAATAGCATATGGATAAAAGCAATTGACAGTACAACTGACACAGTCTATCGCGTTTTTACCTTGTAGTGAGTACCTGCTTGCAAATGCCACCCTGGGCAACTGCCCATATCAACAACCGTGTATAACAGTCAACACAGCCAGTAAACTACTATTAATCAATTTGGCAGATATGCAAAAATATACATTTCATATTTATGCAATCAGCCATTCTGATAAATATGTTAGTATATTCAACATTCATTCAGTTTCATGCTAGCCCTTAACAGAAGCATTTATTCATAAAATAATCGAAACAGGAATTGGGTCGACAAATCAAAACTGTGTTTAGGGAAGCACAAACTCACGAACCGGTGTCGCATTGACGTATTACAAAACAACATAGCTTTGAGTCAAAAAACAACAACAACAATAAAAAGGCTAACTCTTGACTGTACGCTCCCATTTACGCTAGGTTACACAAACCTGCCCTCACGGTATTACCTACGACAAACGGTGGCGTCCTTTAAAGGTAGCAACTGAGCTAAGTCGCATTCAAAGTTGAGGCAGTCAACTTGATGCTAGCTGCTGGAAGCAGGGTGTATTCAAAGGCAACAACTGGTGCTTAGTGTTTACATGGGGGCTGGTGTTCTGGGTTTACACGAGCACTGAGTGGAGGTCACAGTTACTGCGATAGCTTTGACGAGTAAAAACAGGAGCCGGGGTCTCTTTACGGTCCGAGCTCGGGCTAAAGTGCCGTCATAAATATGTAACCGTGGAGCCTCTCAGCAGTCACTCAGTCTGGCTGCCTTCTCCGCCTTTAGGCCAAACCTGTCCTGCCTGCTGCGCTGCTCTTCCAAAACGCTGTACTAATGTAGAGCAGCTCCATGCGGCCCATCCCTCTCCCCCACGGCTGACAAGAACACGGAGAAAACGGGAAGGAAAAAAAAAAAACCCTAAACGCAGAGCTCACCCCTCTCCGGTCAATTCCAGCAGTGTCGACCTGCAGCCGCCTGCTGCCTCCCTCAGACGCGAGCTGGACGGGAGGTTTTCTTTCTTTTTTTCCCCCCTTTCTTTTTAGGCAGGAAATCCTGGTGGTCTTTAATCCACGTTTTACCCCCCAACCGTCGCGCTCCCGTTAGTTCTCAGTTCAGCAGGCCGGGGTCGCCGCAGTCAACATGTGCAGCTCCGACGTAGCCTAATCTCGGTGCTTCCGCGACACAGCCACTTTCTGCCATTTCATACCGACGACGTCGAAACCTTCCGATGTTTCCTCGGCTGCACAATGAGAGCCGGGGGACGTTCAAGAGCGGCCCGGGAGAAGCTGTTGTGCAACGTTTCAAAATGACGTCGCGCGCGACGTGTTATTTACGCTCTCTTGTGTAGGAAGCTCATTTATTTAGCCAATAGAAATGATCGTATTCGAAACGTATTAGCAAAAATACAGGAAGTCGTGATCGAGAAGATGAATTTTTACTATTACATTTAGGAACTCATTCACTGGGGTGATATTTCTGTTTGATGATTGGGGTTTGCACTTCTCAGAAAATGATGAAAGAGCAAAAAGAAACCGGGTTTTTAATTCATTATCAATATGTATGGCACTCCAATTAGTGACGCCTTCAAGAAGATGGGTCAGCCACAAAACGGGATTTTTAAAGACGCTGTTCACAAAGCTCTGCTTCCAATCACAACAATGGAAAGTTGAGTGGAAGGTGAAAATGTGGTTTAAAAAAAAAGGCACATGTAACCAGATAATGTCAGCCTTGAGATAACCCCATTCCACAATTACACGGAGACTTACAAAGTGTGCCCTGCAGGTGGCGTGCTACTGCTTGTGGGATCCATGAAAAGTGTCTGCAAAACTTTGCCAACAGTAAATGTTGGTATTTAGGTTTAGGGTCAGATGGTTCGTCTCTTTGCCAACAATGACATCAAGCATTCGCTTCATGCCATTTCATTGTTCAGCTACAAGTACGGTTGACGTAAAATAGATTTTTTTAGTACATTTACGAGATAAAAGGTCAATAATTTTTACATCACCCAAAAATCATCAATTCAAGTCTGCGTCGCATGTCAAAATTGGCTTTGGAATAGCTAAAGAGATAAAGTTCCAACAGGTTAGCCAGCAGCAACTAGCAAACACCTAGTGAAACTGCACGTCTCCTGAGGTCAGTATGCCAGACATTTCTGGGTGCAATGCTGGTAGAAATGTTGTTAAAGGGTCAGTCAAGGAGCCATGCCATGATGACGTCCTAAAGATGGAGTTTCAGAAAGAGCAGGAGATTTTAAAGAGACAGCGGCCCTATTTCAAGGCATTCAATTACAGAATAAAATGTCCTTTAAGGCATATTTGATATACAAAGCATTTTTTGACAAGTGAAGTTAACAGTTACTTGATTGTGCTTATAAAAAGCTATGTGTCTGGAAAACACATAATACAGCCCCTTTAGCACCTTTTTTTATCACTGATTCTGGTAGAAAACAATAAACCTCAGTGATTTATTTGAATGGGCAGAAATGGCAAACATTCATGTCTGTGTTTATAGAGTCCGTCAGAAAGCAGGGCAATTAACTTATCAGTTGTAGTTAAAACACCAGATTAACACAGTCCTCCCTACAGTGGATTGGCCCTTTGCTGCCCCATCTGTCTTCGGCTTGCCCTGCAAATCCAATTAAGTTCTTACAGTAAGTTCCCCTTCGGCTAAAGATAGTCGAAAACTCCAGAAAAGGCAGAACATGGCGTCATTAGACACGAGTGCAGAGGAAACAAAGTTATGGGGCTGATTAGTCCATCCCATGCCGATGTGATAATAGAGGGACGAGCTGTCATGACAAGACAGGAGCGCCGGGACGACGGAGAGGTGGGCGAAATGGCAGTGGGTGGTGTATAAGAGGAAGGATTAGAGTTCAGAGTGGCGGATGTTTGGAGGAACTTAGAGACAATCTTCTCAGGTACCTGATGAAATAAGGTAAGCTGCATAACTTGTAGAAAGCTTATCAAATGGGTTTTAAGTGGGACATTTCTCAACACAGCACATGTGGAAAGAAAGATGTCTTAAAGCAAGTGATGGCTGTGAAGTGTGGCTGCAGAGAGCTGTGCATATGTTTATATTTATATATGTGCGTAATCAACCAGGTTCCTGTACAGTAGACGGTCTAACAAGTCAGTTATACAAAAGCCACTTAGCTCGGCATCACATGGTTTTGCTCGAAATCCTTCATATGGTGAAACCAGTTGTTGCTCAGACAAAAGCAATGATTGTTTTTTAGTTTTTAGTTTTACTGGATCACCGCAAAACCTTGATGCAAGATTTTTCATAGAACTGGAAACACAGCCGAAAATGACAGTCATGCTGACACTTTAAGCAGTGATAGAGAAAGTTCTCAGAGAGCGGTGTTTGTTTATCCTCTGGTCACAGAAAGATTTCCACGACTCTTTGGTATTATTTGTGTCCTAATACCAGGTAATTTAGTCATAAGAACACTACAGATCTATTTAATGTTAGGCATTTGATTTCGACCTTCTGTATTTGCCTATCCCTCCAACCAGATGTGTTTGGATGTGTCCCACGTCTCAATCCAAGATCACCTGAAACAGCTGTTGAACTCTCACACGAGTTTCCTTTATAGCACATTTATCCACCAGGTCTCCACCAGGGTACTGTTGCTATTCACACTGCCTTATCTGTCAAGGTCAACAACTAAAACCCAGAGCAAAAAGAAGAGGTGCAGAAGTTTGCTTCCCCTAGATAATTTTATCCTATCATGGCATCATCTGCATATTATGAGATTCATGGCTCAAAGAAGACACTCAAAACTGTCTTCCATCTCCAGATAAAATATTCTAGACTAAACCACGATTCTATTTTCTGACATGACTTCACATCATCACATAGTTATGTTGATCTTATTTGAATTACGGTGTCCATAACCTGATGAACAGAGCTGGAGTTTCTTGGGCAGCTGTCAAACTGCCAGAGAATTAAATGCATGTGAAGCAATGTTCTGTCAACTGGCAGCCAAGTCAGCAGCAACAGCTAAGACAGGACATCCAGTTAAAGCACAATAAAGTATGTTAAAGACTTTAAAACAACAAGACCACCTGCTGAGAAAAGGACTGAGATGCTTCATTAACCATCGAGGAAATGATTGAAGTTTAAATTTGCAACAAACGTCCGATCCGCATTACAGGTTTGTGGGAAAAACGTCAGAGAGAGTTGTGTGTGGACAGCTGTAAATGGTCCAGACACCATGACCTTGAACTAGAGACACATAGCTTTCGCACTCATAATGTACACACATCTTGTCATCCTGGACTTTACCTTGGAGGTCTTTGAAATATTTGAAAAGCATCAACCCTGAACTGTCTGTTTTCCTATGGAGATCCTGGCTGCATTCATAACCGAACCTCCTTTTCTGTAAGGAGGTTCGGTCACAGCCAAGTCCGAAAAGGGAAGCATCATGGTGAGCTTTGTGACACTTAGAAGATGTTTTGATACGGAAGAACCGCACAAAAAAAGAAGATATGCAATTACTGTATTCAAACGATTTTGAAATGGCAAACTTATCAAAGTTTGTCATTTCAAAAATTGCAGATATTAGGTTTGTGTGATTCTTGTGGCTTATTGTATCTGGTCATGACACATAGAAGTGTGATGGAGACCAGGGGCTCCATCCCTAATTAATGATGACCGATATATTTATTTATAGAACAAATGCTATTTGTTTCAGTTCTTTATTTTAGTTATATTGACATTTATTTAAACATTCTTCCAGGCAGAGGGACTGGCCATCCTTCCTGGACAGGGGGAATGTGCGGTAAATGTTAGGTTAATTGTTTAAGTCTTACCTTTCGGGTGTGTCTCCTCAGCAGGGTGGAGCAGCAAAGAGAGACCAGGCCTCCAGGTGCTTGTTAAATTCTCCTGGAGCATACCATTTTCAATTAAGAGGGGTAATGCTCTGAAGAGTTATATTTAAGTTAATTTTTGATTGACCTTAGATTAGTTTAGTTTTAATAATTTGCATGCATGTAAATGTTATTTGGTGCCATTAGTTTTGTGTTAGGTCTGTGTAAACTATTTCTTGTTTTATTTAGTCTTACCCTTTACCTCAGGGTTGGAATAGCCCAAAGATATAAAAGCCAGCTTCTTTGTCTCACCGTGAAAATGGGCGTCGGTGTAACTGTGACCTGCATTTAAAAAATAAACTCAAATCTCGACTGCATTCTGTTGCCTCGCCTCCTTTTCCTGAACGCAGAGCCTCCGCCAGTCAAAGTGACAAGAAGTAAGAACCAGCATGGTTCGTAAGATACCGCTCAACCCTCCACAGAAATGATTCTAGTTACTTGAACAACACAGGAAGGCTCTGACAGTATGATGGAAAATATTTAATCACAGAAAAAAATCAGAGCATTACTCAGGGCTTTGTGCACAGCCTTGTTTTGGCTCATTACTTGCATCAAACAATGAGAAACAGTGTGTCTTCATCCTTCTATTAAGTCACTTGGCTGAATTGACAAATATTGAATGATAAATGCATAAAATGTGCCCAGTATTGTCAGAACCACTTGTACGTTCACAACCTCCAAAAATGTTAGTCTGCTTACAGGCAAGCAGATCTTCTGTAACTCTGTTCAACATAGTTTGCCAAAACGAAAAGCCACCAAGGCTGCAGAATCTCCAGATTGCAGAATCGGTGAAGACGCCTCCTTGCTTTCACACTATGATGAAGAAAATGGATGAAACATGGAGGACATTTGCAAGGTCACTGAGTGATCTTCAGCAGCGTGTTCAGAAAACTGCAGGCTTCCCATTACGTGGGGTTAGCATGGAAGAATTTCCCCAGCATCAACCCTGACCTGACCTTGCAACAAAGGGTTATGTTGCAAGGTCATTTGTTATGGTGCTGTCAGCCTAACAGGGTTTTGGTGGAGCGTGAGGCGGTATGGTGGCAACGTATCCATTACATGTTTCCAGGAACAGCAACATGGCTTGAAAAATGAGACTCCGTGATCCAACACTTTGTAAAGGCAGGTGGGCCATGCTCATGTAAGAGAGGCAGGCCAAGACTTTGCCTGAGGCACGGTCTGATCATAAGCATATGTAGATGGATTGTTATCCTTGGAGGCAAATATTTGACTAATGATACCGGTGCTGCAGTGTCAAGCTTTAAAACTCAAGGAGGTTTTTCAATTCTGCTGACATCCAGCCTCAGTCACAGAGATTGCGTAAATTTGAATAGTATAGCAGGATCTTCACCCAGTATAATGGTGACAATACTAAGACAGCAACAATATATCTACATTTACTTTGCTGAAAGCATTTCCCTTGACAAAAAGGTGTTTAGTTTTTCTCAAGGGTCAGTCTTCAGTAAAACATCAGTTGCAGTGAACCTTCATGTCTCTGTTGCAACTTAACAGATGATCAGGACACAAAGACTCTGACCTGGACTGGGGCTAAAGACCTGTACGATGTTAAATTGAGCTAAAATAATCTTAGTTTTGAGATTGTTAAATGTTTGATGATAATTTGTTTGTTTGAATGCATATCAGTACATGTTAAATAAGCCTTTTGAAAGGGAGCGATCATAGACTGCCACTGCTCCCCCGCCCCCGTCAAACCTTGTAGAGTGTTTACGACTTCTAATCATGGGTTTAACTTTCTGTAACATTTTCAACATTTTCAAACGGAAAACGTTGATGCTTTTGATAAAGTTGGATCTCAATCAGCTGGTTATACTTTGAATGTATCTGCTTGTGGTCCTACTTGCTACACAAAATTTTATGGAAGAGGGCAGAGGCAAGAGGAAATGACAACATTTTCAAAGAAACACCCTAAACAACTTTAGTTTATTAGCAAAAAAAAGAGTAATTTGGGGCTAGTTACATCTCAGTGTTTCAAATTGTATGCTTTGTAAGCCAAGCACTTGATTTGAAAAAGGCTATATAATGTAGATGTTTCATGTCAAGTTGAAAAATCTAAAGACAGACTTTGGACACGAACAGCATAGAAAGTTCAATTGTAGATATTTTGTGGGTGTACTAGATGTCATTAAGTTGTCTTTAGTGCCCCAAAGTAAAGAGCAGACTGAGTGGGTGCTGGTACAACAGATTAATGTAGCCGTGCATGCACAGCGGGACGATCCCTTCAGGGTTCATTTTCTTAATCTTTGAAAACTGTTAGCCTCTTGCTGTTTCTATTGATTAATCTAGTTACGTTGATCACCAATCAACGTAACTAGATTGATCACTAATCCTCTAACGTTTCCTCATCCATCATTTTTTGCACACAATACAAGGTTATCGGTAAATATCTGTTTCTATTTCAGGGAAAAGATGAGCAGAATTAAGTGTTGAAAAGGTCTTGGGTTTATTCCAGCCTTTCCCTCTTTAAGTCCTACTAAACCGCAGGCGTAGCGCTGAACAAAATGTGCAGGGTACCTTTTTAAAACCGCAAATGCACCAGAATGTTTTTGCTCACTGCAAACGGTCCAGACCAGTTAATTCACAGCCTTGTGTCATTTTTGCATGAGCAGCCCATGTGGAGCAGGATGGGCACGTTTGTGACCCTGACGGAGGTGCTAGAGGCCCGGGGTTCGCCCTTGGAAGAGGACGAAGTCTGGTGTCTGCTGCTGGCCACCGCTGATGCCTTACTGGACATCTCCAAAAAAGGTGACCGCGTCTAAGTACGAACTTACACGCACAAGAACTGTACCTTCTTAAACATACAGCTTGTAAGACCCTGCAGACAACGCACTAGATGAACATGTGACGCAGGTTTGTGCAAAAAAAAAAAAAACATTTGAGTCACAGAAAAAAAAAATCCCTTATACAATTTAAAATCTCCCAAAATCGATCCACCGTCAGTTGGTTCATGATTTGTAACAATGTCTTGGTAAAGAGTTTGTGGTCTGCTGTGTTTAGGTCCAGGTAACATGTGTAATGTGTTGAGCCCCGGCTCAGTGCTGCTGTCAGCCAATGGGAGCCTGGCCTTCAAGAGCTGCGCACGAAGTGAAGACGTGGCGTCTTACACAGCTCCCGAGGTCCAGCAGGGTCTCACTCCTTCCACCAGGGCTGCTGCTGAAAAGGTCTGAGTGGGAAAACCTTTCTTCTGCTTACAAAAAATGGAAAAAAAGGGGGGAAAAATCACCAAAGTTCCTGTTGGTTATTACCTTGGGTAACCTGGGTGCCCTGGTACATGTTAGCAACAAGCTTTCATTCATTATGTAGCAACAGTACATAATGGCACATTGGAAAAATAACTACATAATCACCCCTACGAAGAATCCTTTTAACTACTGATCTGCTAAAATGATACACAGACTGAATGTTCATCGGCGTCGACCTCAGAGGAAACTCAAAACCTCCCTCTAGTACCTACTTTAGAATAAAATGTCCACAACAATATTGTGTGTCTGACCCTCAGGCGGTAGTATACTCACTGGGAATGACTCTTTACTGGTGCGCTGACTATCACCTCCCTCAGAATCAGGTCGGTTCCTCGCTTCTTTTCTTCTCATTCCGGTCGCCGTCTTCCATCCTCTAAGCCGTTTTGGGTTTTGCTGGCCTCTCCTCAGCCAGTCCAGATAAGCACAGAGCTGGAGGGTTTGCTGCTGAGCATGTGTGAGGACATGGCGGTGAGGAGGACCGACCTGCTGACGGTGCTGGAGACCTGCGAGTTCCATCACAAGTCCTCCATGCTGCCGTCCCCAGAGCGCCTCATCAGGCAGCTGGTCGAAGACGTCTACAGAAACTCGGTGAGTGGCCGCATTTTCTCCTGTCTTCTGCTGCAAAACCAGTCCTCCGCTTGTTTAATCGAGCCGGAACGTGGCTGTCTCCGCAGGACGACCACGTGGCCATGACAGAAAACGGATCCCAGCTGACAGACCGCAGTCAGATGGTCAGGGATAGATTACACCGTAAGAAACTGATCCCATTTGTTTGAGCTGAAGTTTGACATCGTTTGACTTTTTCAGGAGTGTGCTTATTGGCTTTCTCGCTAAGAAACACGGTGACATAATACAACGGTTCGCAAAGCAGTAGTAAATGTGTCCACGTTAAGCTTTGCCATGACAAGTTCCAGGTCTCAACAACCAGTTTCACACAAGCTGCGTTTCCATTGCAAATGTGCATCAGTCTTTGAGTATATTCTGCTAATGTAAAAAAAAAGAAAAAAAAAACACAATTTCGCAAACACGTTGTTTCCATTAAATTAAAAATGAAATGAAAATTACACATGAATAATCTTGTTCACGTGATGAGTCATTAAAAAACATGCAGGGCCATAATCTTCCAACTACTTCCTGTGGTTTTCTTCATGGGTTGCGACTGTGGCAGCATGAGGTTGTTGGGGGGGAAAAAACAACCCTTTCGATTGTTTTCCACATGTAAACAATTTTGACACATCTGAAAAAAAAAGGACTTAATGTTAATGTCAAAACTTTTTATCAAAAAAACGTGTTTTTTCAAAATTGCTACGTTTCCAATAAGCAAATTTATATCCGAAGTGTCAGATTGCTCAATTATATGGTCAATGGAAACGCAGCTGCTGAAGAAATGACCTTGTTCTGGAGATAAATCATTAAAAATCATGGCAGGGACGGATATAAACAGCTACATGAGATATATTCATAATTCAGCCTTGGAAAGAAAAACCCATTATCCTCCTTCTAGCTCCTGTTGTCTTTTTTGTTGTTTTCACCAGTGGTAACATGTGGCTGTTGATCATGTGATGTGAAAAACGTGTTTCAATGCGACTGAAAGTCCACTTTGTGCTAGAACAAAAACATTTCTCAATGTGATTGTACAGGAGCAAAAGACATTGTAGTTTATTGATTAACATCAAAGATGCATAGTACAGCAAAATAATGTTTGTAAAAATCTGAGTGGAAACCCTAAAATAAATAAATAAATAAAAATCCAAGAGCATCTGATTAGTAAATAAAAGCAGTATTTTCTTCATTGAGACATATAATTATTACTGGTGCACTTCCAGCGCAGAGCTGTTTGATTCGATTTAAACGGACCAGAGTCCGTTTCCTCAAATAATCCACTTTGCTTGGGAAAGTGTGAAAGCTCATCTGAACTCTGGACTGATCAGTTGAACTCTGGTCCACCTGGAATTATCACCTGGAGTTTAAGTGTTGCTATCGAGCAACCCAAAGAGAGACAGGGTACAAAAAGGAGAAAATCATGCGATTTATGAATATGGAACCAGAATGCCTTTAAATCCTTGCTGACATGATTAATCGTGATGAATCGATTATTGAAATAATCATCAACTAGTGTTATCGATTGCAGTTACCTGGAATATACGGACCCCCAAAAATAATTAAGCCAAAACTGCACAAAAAATATATACAATTTGCATTTAATATACTCCAGAAGTCCTCAAGAAGCCTAGTGTTAGCTTTACCTGGAAAATATACTGTATAAAATTACATAAAATCTCATATTAAGCATATTTTGCTATCTAATTATTAATAGGTAGTACAAATACATAACCACCAGACACTGTATTGATACAGCACAAAGGGTTGAGCTTTTCACATTTTGATATTTGAAGTGATATTTTAGTAATGTTTTTGCATTTTAGACAAGTCAAAAATCTGTAACCTTTGCATTAAATTGATGAGGTCCATTTTTATGCTGAGTTTCTTGAAACCACAGTTGCTGTAAATTTTGCTTAAATTACACATTTTTAAAATAATTTTTTATATAGTTTTAAAAATCACTGATATATTTGGACAAAATAAAGAAAATCTTCAGCGATTTCTGTAAAGTGGAAGACAAAGAAAAACAGGATTGTGAAAGCTGGTGTCTGTATAGAGCAAAACAAAACAATAGTAGTAAAGTGTGGATTAGTATTAAGAACGTAAAAGTTAAACCTGACCCGCCTTTAAGCAGAACAGGAGAGTTTCTACTCTCTCTGGTTTAGCATTTTTAGCTTTACCCATTCAGTCTGAGGTACTTATTTAAGGGCCATGGCATGCATCATTTTAAGCGGGCGAGTCGCATGGTTTTTTGATTTTTTACCGTCTATCTTTTCAAAGAAAATATCAAATATTAAGGCTAATAGAAAAAATGCTAACCCAAGACTTTGCAAGAGCAATTTAACCACAGAAGAGTCACTTTGCAGGGGGGAATAGTTCCAACCTTTACATACAATTTTGAGGGAAAACAGCTCAGTAAGCTAAGCAAGTTAAAAGTGCCTCAGAATGTCCCATCTAATTTCTTTAATTAGTGCATAAGCCGAAAAGCTGTGGCGAGCTGTTTCCCTCTGCACCGCGTCTTTAAGCTGGCTTACTGGAGCTGTTGAAGGTCCAGCGCATCGTCGACAACGACATTTAAAAACGGACAGGAGGGTTTCCTGCACCGTGATTTGAAACACAAGCGTTTACTCCAAAACACATTAACTTGGGAATTGATATGATAAAAAATAATGTCCAGCCATTCTGCAAAACAGCAGTGAGACTGTGCAAGTCGTAACCCCTTGTTACCAACTTTATGTTTCAATATGGCCTCTTCTCACATAAAAAGTTGTGAGTTGCGGGGGAAACATGTTTGTTTTACAAGAAATACATGTAAAAGTTTGCCTAAATTAATGGCATGTGGGGCACCTTACCTTGACCTTTAATAGTTTCGGGGTGTTCATTTCACTATTAATTTATTAGCTATAAATAAATAAAGCTAATAAGTCTATTTCTGAAAATATGCAATTATTGAGCTTATTTAGAACAGACACAGGACCAGAACCTAATGTTTAAGATACAAAGCAATTATTAATCTAATCTTACCTAATGCGTGTTTCAGGAGGTTCTTTCAGTAACTCGACATGGACCCTAAAAAAGAAGATCCACAGAATCTTTTCAGAAACATCGTATCCAGCTGATACTACAGGGTAAGAAGTCCAAATCTATTTTCTACACCGTTTCTTGGTGGTGGTTTACTGGTGTGTGGGATATTTTCTCGGTACACGTCGGGGCTCTTAGTATCCAGTGAACATCATTGGATATGACCGCCTACCTGAGCTCTGACCAGATAAAACTGGTTTGACATCAACTGTGTTTCCACTGATGATTTTTTTTTATGCGCATTTTGAAGAATCGGGTTAAAAACAGTTGATGGAAATGGCAAAAATTCTAAACTTCTCAGTCTTGGGGGGGGGTGGGGGGAAGGGGTTTTTATTCTTGGTGGAGGTGGTTTGTGGCTTTTCTGAAAAAGAGTTAATGCGCTAAGCAGAAGATGGAAACGCATGAGTCAAATAAGATCTCACAACAAATGTCTCCATCCATTGGTGGGACTGTGCCTTGCCAGAGGCACAAAACTAGCCAATGTAATCCATAGTGAATTTGCCTCTTTTTAACTAAACACATTTGGGGCCTGGTGGACTCTGAGATTAGCATCATAGCTGTGCAGCTGACAAATCTGCACAACCGCATGATGCTAGCATGTCAATGTGATCCGATGTGTCCGACTCTGACACCTTGTACCTATTCCACAAAGACTTTTTGAATGCAAAAGGGGATCCAACCTAACAAAGTGTACCAAATACAGTATTCAGTGAGTGTATATTGATATTGTTAAATTAATGGATATATTTAGTTCCAAGCCACTGTCTTGTGAGTGACAGATGTTATCGCCTATCCAACTGAGACTAGAAAATTCTCTTCCCCCAGGATTCCCTTGGGAGGTCGGCTCAGAGAAAGTTATCCCAGCTGGCAGCATCTGAACCGTACCCCCTGTAGCCCGTACATGGATGGCAATCGAACTACCAGCGCAAGATCCCTTCTGCAGTTCGAATCCACAATGAGTTTGAATGACAAGAAAATGAAAGTGAGGCAGCATTTCATGCTCTATGGTATCAAAAATAAACTGAACTCTAATTTGAATGGCATCTATTATGTCTATTATATTAGAGATTCCTCTCTCTTCCTTGTAGGACATGACTGGTCCTGAGTTTCTCAGAGTTTTGGAGGAACCCCTTGTCGTTTTGGAGCTGCCCGGGTCCATTCTGGTAAGTTCATGCTCTCCAAAAACTGCTTTCAAGCATCTTTGCTTTTTTTGAATATCAAGTTCATTCCTCTTCCCCCTTTCCACAGACAAAGAAAGGGAAATCTCCAGCCACCCATAGAGAGCTCAGTGTGGTGATGCCAAATGGTCAAAGCATCCTGGTCAAGTGTGAAGTGAAAAGCAAAGGAGGGGATGTGTTTGACATGATCGTGGCTCATTCAAACCTCATGGAACACTTCTATTTTGGCCTTGCATATATCGATGGTAAATTGATTGAACCGATTGGTTTGCCGTGACTACCAGTTGAACGGGTCTTTCTATGTCAAAGACACTTACCCAGTGTCTTTGATCTTGTCTCTATTCTGTGGTCAGATAATGAGTTTTTCTTCATTGATAATGACACCAAGATTTCCAAAGTGGCGCCAGATAGCTGGAAGAAAGTGCCTACGACAACTTTTGTCCTTTTCTTCAGGATCAAATTCTTTGTGAACAACATTTCTCTTCTTTTGTAAGTTATTCTTTTCTTTTTTTTATTGTTGAGGGTGGACACTTGATGGCAAGTGCTCCAGCCTACTGGTTTGCTAAAATAGTTTCCTTTGACAAGTCTTAACAGATTTACTAGTGGAAGAAACTTTCTCTCATGATCAGAAAATATTTCAAAGATTCTAATTATGCATGCTAAACCTAGAGCTCCAGTTGATTTGTTGCTGGAACAGATCTAGAGTTACCAATAGAGAAAGTAGGAGTTTCCCCAACTAATCCTGAGTAATCCTGAGTAACTTAATGTCCCCGGTTTCCTCTCTTAGGCACAAACAGACCCGTCACCAGTACTACCTCCAGCTTAGGAGAGACCTTTTAGAAGACAGACTGTCCTGCCATGAGGAGACTGCTCTGTACCTGGGAGGTCTGGCCTTGCAGACAGAGTATGGAGACTGCATGCCTGAGGTTGTACATTTGGAAGAATGAGAATACAGGACGCTAATTGTAGGGATTAGGCAACTGGACTTCCCACGAATAGCAAATATCTGTGAACAAGACCCTTTCTAAAAATTCTTATAAGTCTATTTTATTGGTTCAAACATCAAATATACTGTAATTTGTATTAAAAGGCACAGTGGAAACCATTTTGGCACTACCGTAGAAGCTAACGTCTACAGTTTTCCTTATTTTTGCCGTGAGGGACTGGCGCCAATATCCTCAAGCGTAGTATACACAATGAAATTTAATATGTTGTGAAAGTCTGTACTCTACTCTGTTTAGGTGTACGGTAGAAACTACTACCGACCTGACCAGTACGTCTCCAAGAGTGTGATGGAGAAACGTGCCTTGCCTTACATTCAGGCAGAGCTGCTGAGACTTCATGCCAATAATGCCCAAATGCTCACAGATGAATCCAAGCTTGAATTCCTGAAGGTAGTAGCAAAGTACTTAGAAACATTAAAACTCACGATGCGCCATCGACCGCTTCTAAAAGTGACGTCTGTTCTGTTGTTAAACCTGCAGGTTTGTCAGCAGTTGCCTGAATACGGCGTCTTGTTCCACCGTGTGATACGGGAGAAAAAGCCTTCGGATGGAGAAATTGTTCTCGGAGTTTGTGCCAAAGGTGTCATCGTCTACGAGGTTAAAGATGGCTGCCGGTCCACCGTTCAGAATTTCTTCTGGAGGGAAACGGCTACAATCTCCTCTAGCGTGAGAGGGTCCTCCACAGTGGCACGTGACATTCTAGGGTGTTTCTGTTCGCGGTCTAAAACGCGCCTCTTTTATGAATCTGCAGAAGCAAAAATTTATAATCGAGTGCCGGGGCAGCCGGAAGAAATACGTCTTTATCACGGAGAGGTCCAGGATAGCCAAGTATTTGTGTAACCTCTGTTCTGCCCAGCACAAGTTTAACAATGAGATGAGTTCCCGGCAGCAAAGCCGCAGCCTGGTCTCAGGTAAGGTTTGGCGGCATAAACGTCCGCTGCCAGACTTTCTTTGTAGTTTCACTGCACGTATTTAGCAGAAGGGATACGTTCCATCGCAGCTCTGCGCTTCAGCCGCTCCTCTTGCCTGCGGTAGAGGATAGCAAGCGTAACCTCTGTATCTTTGTCTAGAGGACAACATTGTGCAGTACGCAGCTGTGCGCCGCGCTCAGAGCAGACAGCTCAAGTCCATTTCGTGTTCCGAGATGCTCCAGGACGACAGCGGCCTGACCACGCCGCAGGAAGAGTCTCTGACCAAGCTGTGTGACGACGTGGCAGCCAGAATCGAGGCCCGTGTGAAACATCACAGGTATTTTTTTTTTTTTGCCTTTTGTGCTAATCAGGGTTTCCCCCCAGTGTATTATAAGACTGGCGGGCCACCAGGCTTTACATGTATCGCCACCAGGAGATACATAAAGCCTGTATGTTTGTTTGTTTATTTATTATAATTTTTCTAATACGTCACTAACAGGGACAGCAGAGGCAGGTTAAAGAGTCTGTTTGGTGAAATGGATGGAAGCCTGATGGCAACATAGTCAACTCAGTACTATGTTTATTCACCAGAACTCCGTAACAACTGTTACATGCTAACAACTTCAGCAAATGAAATGACAAGTTACAGATAAAAGGTCAATGAGATTTGGATACTTTGATTAGGATAAAACAACTGAAGTACAACAAAATTCTATTTATTTTAACTGTATTCTTTTGTATTTGCCTATTTTAAGACTTTATAGTTGATGTTTAGGTATTGTTAATAATGTCCTCCAATTACACAGTTATCTTGTGATATTTTCAAATTTTCTGTCAACTTTAAACATGTTTTGATTCAAAAATACATCAAGTCTGTGTTCATCCTTTTCTTTCACTTTACTCTTATCCATCAGTTTGTTTTACATTGAAGTTTCCACAGAAACCATGAAATGCACTTGCTTTTTTTTCCTCTTGAAAGCATGACTTCCCCTGTGCAGAAAGTCGAAGCGATTTCATGTGAATCCATTTCTCATCTTTCTCCTTCGTGTGTTCCTTCAGCAGCACCTGCTCCAGCAGCCAGCGCAGCAGCACAGGTTTACGCTCTCCATCCTGTTCCCAGAGGAGCGGATCGGAGGCCCACTCCGGATCCCCAGCAGCCCGAGGCACAGCGTCTTCACACTTACAGCCCAGCTTCATGTGCTTGTGTGCTTCTGCTCTAGTCAGCCAGTAGTTTCCCCTTATTTCATGTCTCCTCACTCACTCAGAGCGATTTCCCCTTTTGGCTAATGGTTGGTCGTATCACCCGTCCCAACAGAAACGTCGCCTAAACTGGGCATTCCTTCGGAGAGGGAAGTCATCTGTGTTTTGTTGAAGAAAGACCCAAAACTGGGCTTGGGTGAGGACATCACTCTGCACTGCATATAACCCAGAATTTATAACTAAATTCATTCATAATGCGTTCCAGCATAGGAATGATTTACTATGCATGAAATACTAATGAAATGAAGTCAATACATTTAATTGAGACTCATATGATTGATTCTATATTTAATATTGCTGTATTTATGTCCAGTCCCCAAAAAAAGTTTTTGACACATTAAAATAGTTATAACATAAGGTTTTTATCTAGTGTAATTTGGCACTTTTCACTCCATAATAATCAAAATCTAATTTTTCTGGTATTTCACTTTTGGTAATCTTAACTGACCTGAAACAGGAAACGTTTGGTCCAATTTGACAAAAACAAAAACGGTTAAAGTCTCATTTCATTCAGTTTATCTAAACTGTAACTTGTACTTACACAGGTATTGTTATAGTCGGAGAGGACACAATAGGCCGCTATGACTTGGGCATTTTTATCGCCTCCATTGTGCCTGGAGGACCTGCAGACAAGGACGGACGCATCAGACCGGGTACATGCCTATAATACTAAAACATATTCATTTTACATTAAATAATACTTAAAAATGTATCATCTAGCTTTTTTTCATGTAGGAATGTCTTATTTTTTTTCTTTCTTATAATTAAACATTGGTCTAATATTTAAATCCTACTTATTGAATTCTTCCACACCTTTGATGAACGACTGTGGGCAGTACGCATCAAGTCATGTGCTCAGAAGGACAAAGATTGTGTTCCACATGCTCTGGTGGGGTCACCCTTTAATGTTTGACCTTTGCCTTCAGGGGGTCGCCTGATATCCCTGAACCATGTCAGCCTGGAGGGCGTCACGTTTAGCGAGGCAGCAGGGGTCATGGAGGGCAGCCCTGAGGAAGTGCAGCTCATTGTCTCGCAGCCTAAAGGTGCTTTATATCGATAGTGGAGCTCAAGTAGTCATCTGGTGTTCTTTGTCTCAGTATTGTTTGAGCAATTACTCCATAGATGTACATATTTTAATACAATGTAAAATGGTTTCTAGAGTTGTGAATATTTGTTTAATTTCTATCCCCTACGGTTTGGTTTTGCCCTTTCATCTTTAGTCATTTTAACTGTGGCCGTTTTTTGCTAGCATTACACTGAATATCTGACATTGTATAACTTTCTATTTCTGGAGACATCATAAAATAAAAATATCTTGGGGGGGGATTACATTTACCTAACCTATCTTAATGAAAATCAATTCTAAACAGTTTCTTCGGCACTAATTTAGTGGCAGATTAGGCGTCAACATGTTGAACAACCCGCATCCCTTCTACCTGGCTTACTAAACCTGGTTTGTACATTACATGCATTGCTTGCATTGCATCACTCCTGATTTGATGCTAAACCAAGTCTGGTTTCTAGTTGAAACATTAAAAACAAATAAATAAACAAACAACACGTCTCAGTACTGACAACAAAAGCAGAGAATGAAGTTTTGTTGATTTCTTTTTTTTTATTTTGATTTTTTTTCTCCACAGTCCCACTAAGTCCCATCAGCGTTCGCTCTCCTGTGCTGAGAAAATACGGGTCCCAGACTACGCTGATGACAGATGGACGTTCAGGAGACGATAGCCTGGATGAGATCGTCTCCGTCATGATGACGCCAAAGGCCTCCAGCAGGCTGCACGTCCCGCGGGACGTACGAGTCCTCAGTGCACAGGTAGAGTCATTATAGTGAACATATTTGATTTATTTGCATTAATTTAGTAACTTGGTTCACAAAGTGAAACTTATTATATAAATTAATTACACGTTTAACACCTGCATAAATGTTATTTTTAAAAGGTACTTTAAATCTGACAAACAGGCCTCTGCTGAACACATATTCTATTCTACTGAAAATGACTGAATGTAAATTAGGGTGGGGGAAAAAAAGGACAGCATGATGGAACACCAAACCTGAGCATCAACACATAACACAATGGCTACTTAAACCATAATATACAAAAGTATAATATGATATAAAGTTAAGATTTGTAAAATTATGACAAGCCTAATCTACCTGTGTTTTTACAAAGCTTTTTGCTCCAGTTCTGACCAGCATTGTCGCCACAATGAGAACTGCTATCAGCAGCTCTGTTTCTCCAGATAACTGGCACCGTGCATTACTTAAGCCTGAGTGAAAAACACTGTGGCAGTGGATGGAAGCAGCTGAAAATCTCACTCTAAATGAATCCCACTTTGCTCGTCATGATTCATCTGGTCTAACTGTAGATATCAAATGATTTTATTCAAGCACACTGACAACACTCAAGCTCAAGCTACACTTTAGTTCTTCCTTTTCATGATGTCATTGGTATTCATATTCAGTCAACTCCTTAAGGTGTTTTTTTTTGTGTGTGTGTATTTTTGAAAAGCTGTCTTTTCTCCTTGTTCCTTCTGTGTTCCCTTCAAACCTTTTGGCTTAAATCTTGATCTATTCTAAGATTCCTTGTGTTGTATTTGCCTCAGGACGGAGGCCCTGTACCTCCATCTCAGAACTGTGTGGGGCCAGAAGAGATCTCTGTGGAGCTCAGGAAGATCTCTGGAAATCTGGGCCTCAGCATCTCTGTGAGTGTTTGGCAAGCTTGTAGGTTGCCGCGCGTGGCAGTTTTCCGGCTTTGCTTTCGAAAACCTGTCCTCCTGATGAATGTGCTTTCAATGCTGGCGGTGAACGGTCAACTGCAGCACCTGATCTGCAGCAGTGGGCCACAAAGACTCTTCCACTTAAGCCGATTAACATCTGAGGTCTGACAGGATCAGATGGGGATGCCAAGAGCTGGCTCATCCACTCTGATAACCTCAGCAAAACTGAGCCAGAGCATGACACAGAACTTTACACCAACAAAATACAGCATGTCTGATTATAAGGACATTATTATATCTTAGTTTTGATCTATAAATATTATCAGAAAATATAGATCTCACACTAAATATTACAAATTTAGAACATTTCTGTATAAACTCTATTGACTGTGGTTGAGTGAATCTGAAGTACAACTGTAACCTGCATGACAAAACACAAGTTCATCTCATAACTGATTAGCATGAAAAAAATGTCTCTTTTGATTGGTCATCATATACAAGAATGTTATTAGTTAATTTCTATGTGGTGTATATTAATAAAATTGTGTGAACCACTTTAAGTTGCTCTTGTAAGGTGCTAAATAAGTAAAAATGACTCAGCATATCATGAATGTAAATAAGGAAATCCTCTTCCTAACTAATTAGGGTGCAGCAAACACCAGAGGTCAAAACGGGGGAATCTACATCAAGAGCCTTGTTCCCGGAGGGGCAGCAGAGAGAGACGGACGTTTACACACAGGTACCACGCCTCGGTTTCAAACATATCAATGTATAAAGTCTGATCAGTCTGACTGTTTATATTTTTCGCTTCTTCTTTTTTTTTTTTCATTTACAGGCGATAGAATTTTGGAGGTTGATGGGATTAACTTTCATGGCTTCACCTACCAGCAGGCTGTGGAGTGTCTGGGTAAAACCGGGGAGGTAAAGGACAGCATGAGATCAAAGAACTTGTATATGCAGATGACAATTGGAAGTTTTGGTGTTTCAAAAGCTAATCTTGGCAATGTTTGTAGAACTACATTTCAGTTCTGACAAATCCCAGTAAAATGAAGCTTAGTGACTCTGATGCCAATGTAATAATCATGATCTGGTCAAGGTTTTTGAACTTAACTGATACGTATAATGGATGGAAATAGCATGGGTTTGAACTGCACTCCAAAAATCTGCAATTCTTCTGCTGGATCCATCGTCTCCCACTTAGCCAAAATCTGGTAATAACGATAATGAGTTTGGGAGATTTTTGGCTCAGTTTTTCTTTACCACAAAGAGCTCTGCAACATCTGCATTACAGCAAGTGGAGCGCCAATCCATCTATCTTTCCCTGCTTGCATCATCACTCATTAACCAGACACCAACATGCTCTCCACTTCAGGCTACCGCTGACCCAAACCCAGAGAGAAAAGTTTATGCTTTAGCAGTTAAGAACCCTGGCCTCAGATTTGAAGGAACTGATTCTGAACATTGGGCAGTTCAGACCAAATGCAAACTGCCATAGTAGTACCTACTGAATGGAGGTCATGGCCTGAGGAAGCCGAGAGAACCACTAAATCTACGAAAAGAAATGGCGAGACCTTGAGGTTTCCAAACTAGACATCCTCCTCTCCAGGACTACACCTTGAGATACTGGTCATGAATTTCTAAATGGTGGAGTCCAACCACCAGGAGAGTGGTCCAGCCTGTTCCTTATGCTCCAGGAACAGGCTTAAGATTGTGTTGAGAATACAGACAGCTTTTTGTTCATAGTGGGACTGGACAGCTGTCAAGATTGTCTCTGCCACACCGTACTCCCTTCAAAATGCTTCAAAGTCATGACTGTCATTTCTAAGGCTGTTTTTACAAATATGCTTAGAATACTAGGCCTTATTTATCATTAACAGACATGGATTTGGTTGCAGAAATCTTCATATGACATGTTCAGATGTGTCTTGTGAGTGCTATTAACTGCTCTGCTCTTCTATCATCTAGGTGGTCTACTTTGTTGTGAAGCGGGAGTCAGTCAGCCTGCCTAAAGTTTCTGTGATTGCTGACACAGACAGTCCGGTGTCCAATCAGAGAGTTCCCCAAACCACCAGCCATCTTAGACTCAACAGCTCGTCGTCCCTAAGCTCTTCCACAAGCACAAGGTCTGTCCGTTCCAGAGACTACGGCTTCGTCACTGATGGTAGGACATTTCAACGCAGGTTAGGATCAGTGGACTGAATCGCACAGCACAAAAAAGTTGGACGTCATTACAAATGTTCCATAACGTGCAGTACGCTGATTGTAAAATGTAATGGAACCACAGTTAGCAGCAATAACCTCAAATGTTTGTTCTCTTATACTGTTAAGGAGGAATTTTGAACCTCTCTTCTATCCGTTGTTTCAGATGACTAAGACCTGTGAATGTTTATACTGCTGTATTGACCCTGACCTCATCCAGACTTCCCTTAATCTTTGACCTCTCCACCTATGTCTGTCTTCCTACACTGACTTCTTTCAAAGTACACAGGTGGATTACACTTTCCATTCCAGGCCAAGCAACTGAGTGATGTGCAATTTGTGATGCCAGGAAAGCTTCAAATCTTAAATTAGCTAAAATTATTTCAACTTTCAGGAAAATACGTTTTCAGCATGGCTAAATGCTGAAAACGTATTTTCAGCATTTAGCCATGCGAATCTTTGCTGGGCCAAAGATTCACCCAAAACAGCTGTTCCTCATCTTAACCTTTTTATCAATCAGAAAATTTTCTAGCTTGAAGTTTAGTCAAGTCATTAAAAAATATCTCCATTGTTGTGGCTTCATGTGAAAAACTAATATTGCGGAAGCATTTGAAGTCTCTTGATGAACAAAACTTTACGAAAGCACTGTTAAAATCTTTTCTCTGTCAAAAACGAATGGAAAGATCAACAGAGGACAACGTATTTCTGAATATTAATAACTGAGATTAGGAATAACAACCTTTTGAAATGGATTCTCTGATGAATGAATAGTCTGAGCAGTGGCTACTAAACAGTCTACATCAGCACAAAAAATCCAACTGAAAACATGGAAACTGAAAAAAATGAAAAAAAAAATTTCCAGTTTCCATGAAGTTCCTATACTTAGTGATTGGAGAGTGTGACAGTTATTAGAAATTTTTCATACAGCAACATTTGTTTACTAGACAGTCAACGAGACGTCCGTCATACATCTGTAATATCCTGAAACTGCCCACAGATGGCTCTAATTTCAGCTCTATCCACAAGGTGTGAAATGTATTTCACTCTCCATGTTGGATTATCATATTGCCTTATATATTTTCTGAGCTATGAAATTACGAGTCACTCTATCAAACTGTAAATGATACAGACAATGCAACGAAAGCAAAATGTCTGTTAGTGTGGACGGAGCTTTAGGATATATGTCGATGCATAAAAGAAGATGATCTAATATTCCATTAGCAGTGGCAGGAGCAATGATATGGAAATGTTATGTCTTATTTAGCATTTAAATGAGTTCCATCCATCAGGGAAAAAATCATCTCAGCCTTTACTGGGATAATATCAGCTGCATTAGAAATGCATCAGAGTGCTCACAGCATCGCACAGTTCATCAAATCTTTAGTCATTCAAAACCGTCGAATCCACAGCTCTTCTGTAAAATGGCCGACTACGACTTTCTTAAGTCAAAACGCCGCTCCCGAGTAGGCGGGGCTTGACGCTCCAACGTCTCAACAAGACACCAACGTCTCCTCTGATTGGCTGACAGATGATGAGTGCTAGCGCTCATCAACATGTGATTATTTACATTCATCGCCGCCTTGTTTTTATTTGACTTATCACGTGAACAGGCTTACTCACGTGTGACTTCAGTAAGATTTGTTCTTCAGTGTTAAATACCACAACTACGAAACTGTGTTTTTCCGACATTAGCAGACTATCAGAACAAATAATAATAATTGTGCACATTTGTAACAGAGAAGCAGCTACTGTTTGGGTTTCATTTGTCCTTTCTATCCCACATCCAACTTCGACACAACCTTTGACCTCATCACTGTTGCTTCACTGTCCTGCCTCGTCCTCCAAAACCCCAAGAAAATGTCAAGGAGGTGACTCTGACCAAAGACGTCAATGGTCTGGGATTTAGCTTCCTGATGTGTGAGCTGGACCCACCCACCAAGGACTTCAGCAGCATGGTCCGGATAAAGCAGCTCTTCCCCGGCCAGCCTGCGGAGCAAAGCGGCAGAATTCAGGAGGGAGATGTCCTGCTGGCTATCAACGGCCAGTCGCTAAAGGAGCTTTCCTATCCAGTATGTGCAAAATTGAGTTTTTAAATTGTTTGTTACTGTTGCGACTGTGAAAAGTTGTTGACTAGATACTTATAGGTATTTATTTGAAGTGATGGCTGTGTCGGTGTCTTCGCTTCGTGCTAATCCAGGTTAGAATTTAGTTTTTGTACTCTTTCTTTCCCTGGCTGCTTGTGTGTAGGGTTAATCCTGTCAATGTCCTTTTAGTTTCTGGATATTCTTAAGTTTGTTTTGCTAAGAACTGTTAGCTTTTCATCTTTCCACTCTGCATTTGGATCAACTGTTACACTACACTAATACACTCATTACTTTAAATGGTTTAAGTGAATGTTTTCAATTCAGAGTTTTACACAAACTTACTTTTCCTCTACTTAACTCATTCAGGTTGATGCTAAATGAAGACAGCAAGAGAGTAATCTGCTGTTGATTCTTATGTCTTTCAATTGTACTTAACTTCAAAAGTTCTGAAATGTCCCTTCATGAATGGGCCTCAGTGATAAACCACTGTTTATCTGTGTAAACCACTGTTCAACTCTTGGTGTAGAAAGTGCTGAAGCTGTTCAAGAATTCCCCAGCTGAAGTGAGGCTAACTCTCTGTCGGCCGCCACCAGGTACAAACATCCACTCATCTTGAAAAAGATCTGCCCGTCGACTTCCCTAACGCCTCGGTTTCTGCAGGGACTCTACCTTCCCTGGACCATTTCACCGGCACCTGATCCGCCTCTTGGGCTTTACACCAGCACTGTCGTATTGAAGCAACGTCATGCTTTCAGATGAAGCAGGAGGTGGTGATGGATACTGAAGGCTTACGGTTGTTCTGACCTGTTAGCAAAATGCTGCTGGCCCTCTGGAAAGGTCAGAATTGTTTCTGATAATCAGTTACATTGGGGAAATAAACCGAGGACTCATCTAGATGCCAAAATCATTCGCAATCCGACCAGAAAGAAACTCAAATCTTGTGTTCTCTGAGCCAGGTTTATCTGTATGCCATCACTCATAGAAAAGGAAATCCAAAGTGCTTTACTCCCAATCAAAGGAGTGACATGAAACATGTGGCAGTTGTTTCTGCAGCAAAGAGATTCATTGTTTCCTCTTGTCAGTATTGTCAAGGTATTAGGAGAAATCCAAGGAAGCACAGGAACACTAAAAGACTATTTTCTGACACGTGTTACGACATGTTTGTGGTTCAGTTCAGGCTGCTAAAGAGCGCGAGAGAGCAAGACTTTGCCAGACCACAAGAAGGGTGGTCAAATACTGCAATGTTGTAATCTTCTGTCTGTCATGGAAGAAGCCGGATCAAATCTCTGTATTTATACGAGGATCTAAATTCCCTATGGAATATACAAACACTGCTTTTCACAGTCAAAGCACTGGAAGACCCAATAATGAGTTTAAATGAAATTGACACTACATCAGTAAAATCGCTGATCTACTAAAATCATCCTCCTACACAACACATGGTGTGGCTTGGTCTTTGGTCCTCATATTAGTAATTTATGGCAGAAAGGCTAGAACATTTACATTTACAACAATATTTTGCTATTTTAATAGTTAAGGAAGAATCAGAATCAGCTCAAGTCGGTATCAGAAGGTCCAATCTCACCAAATCTGAGGTATAATCTGAATCTTTAACTTATTTCAGTAAGTAAAGTTTACAAATGTGGTTTAACTTGCCCTCTTTCTCGATTCCTTTCTAAAAGTAACGTATGCATTGGTTCCTTTATCTGTTCTTTGCACAGTGAGGATAGCAGAGGACAGAAAACTGGGTCGGTTTTCTGCCTGGTCCTGATACAATCTAGAACCTCAGTGTGTCTAAGGATACAGCAACCTGATTCCAGGTATGTAGTCGGTTTTTGGTTAATGTGATGTGGTCAACAGCACCTTAGAATCCATTGGTCAAAGCTTCTACCTCTCTGCAGTACTGCTAGTATAGATATTATAAACAATGTAGGGAAATGTACCTCATAATGGAAAAAAAAGAGCCGTTTCTGAAAAGGAGAAAAGGCAAATGCTCCAAGCTTGTAAAATCCACTAGATGGCAGCATTTACCAAAACGTGACTGATTTCAAACAATGACTTTCATCGATGGATGTCTCTTTCAGGAAACATCATGACTGAAAGAGGAAGAAGTGCAACACAGAAGTTTCCACCAAGAGATGAAGACCAAAGTGACGAGAAAAAAACATTGTTTAAAGCATTGCTTTATGTGACCAAACAAAAATAAAAGCTACTGAACTGAGTCTGAACAGACTATGGATGATCCAATCTACGCTCCCCATTCAGTATGTGAACAAATATGGGCAGCATACACACACACACACACACACACACACACACATCTCCCTGGGTGAGAAGCCAGCAGTGGCCCCTCGTAAATAAGGGTTCCTGTATATTCTGTGAAATCCAACTGTGCATCTGGATCCCATCAGAGCTTGTGGTCTTTTGCAAATGATCCCAAATGTTTCTAATTATGCCAGCGGAGTCGGCACGAGGCTTTTTGAACGTGTGTGTCCCTGTATGTGTGCATGTGCGTGTGTGTGTGCATGCGTGCGTGTGTGTGTGTGTGTGTGTGTATGAGTTCCCGTAGTCAATTCTCCAGGAAGGAAGATGCACTCCGAAGTACTGAGCTTTTTGTTCTGGAGGCAAATCATAACGGTGAACAGAGAGGTCCTGACCTCTGCAGGTCACCGCTACCCAACTGGCAATAGATGTAGAGTGTCTGAATGTATTTATTTCAAAGTGTTACAATGCTGAACCAAAAACTCGTTCGTTAGATAATAACAGCATACTGGCTGCTGTTCGTAAGGCCATTTTATGTGGCTTCATCGACAAAATGACAGAAGTGTATTTCAACATTAGCCTTACAGCTAAAATAAGCATCTTAGCATATTTTGGTTATCATAGCTTAGCTTACCGTAATGAATGGAGTGAGTTCATTTAACTCAACTCTAAAGCGATAGCTAAAATCCTATAGATATTTTAGCTAACCTTAGCATGTTGGCTAACTTCAAGTAATACACCAATTTTTGCATATTTAATAGAGAATAGAGTTGAAATGTCTTATTTTTCCAAAGTGGGGGAGTAAGTCAACATAAATCGACGTGCTAATGATAGCCCACATGCTAACAATTGCAATTAAGATAACATAAGTATTTGAAAATTCAGCAATGACTTGCTTTCAGAGACAACGTGTCACTTGGAAAGGAAGCAAAAAGAAAGTTAAGCTATGTTTAAGTGGTGTTAGCAAAGCTAGCTAACGTTAGCAGTCGGCCTCGTGACAAACATTCTTTACCTGGCCATCACACAAAGAGATATAGTCAATGTTAGCTACACATATTAAACTAGCTAACTGTGTTTTGTATATACTGTACGTTTATTGGCATTGGTTTCCGATTCCTGTCAGCTGTTTGCCACCCATTGACCAATAGATAACATCATGTAATATTAGTGTTGGCACTGGTCTTGGTCTTGACTTGGTCTCAACCCCTAAAAGTCACAGTCTTGTCTGGATACACCCTGGAGTTGGTCTTGACTGGACCTCAGGTTGGGAGGGCAGCGACTGCAATACATGATACCAGAGAAAACCAGTATCCCATTCCTGGACTGTTACACACTATATCTGCTAACCATCTTAGCTCCTGCTGCGAGGTCACATGTGGCAGACCTCCAAACGATCAACACCTAGAGGAATGGACGTGCTAATGGTTCAGCGGACCTCAAAGACCTCTACCTATGATGGAAGGCATTGTTCAGGATCACATTTTCCGCTGGGGTTGCATGCTTATGGTAGATTTCCTCCCACTTTGAGCTTCCTTCTCATCCTCCTATTTCCCTAATTAAACTGATTGTGCTAGTGTTGTTATTTTTAAAAGAGCTTCAAATCCATCACCCAGCAGCGGTATGCATCGACTTAAAACAAAGCTCGGAAAAAGTCCTAGAGCTCTATAATACTGGAAGGTTTTTATTACTATTTTATCCTATCAATTCCAAGTAAAAACAACCAAAATTGGTCAATATTTATGGAGAGAAACTGTGATAATTCCTCATTTTAAGGCAACTATTGAACATTGAACAGCTTTTTTGGAGTTGCTAAAATAAAAAGCCAAAGATTAGGCTTAGACTGGAAAGCAAAGGGAATAAAAGTTCAACGTGTCAAGTAGATGAATAGAAGGCGAAGGACTGGGCACGCACACTTAGAGGGAAAATGACAGAATCAAAGGAAATTAGAGTTACTCAGTTCACAGCTCGGTGTGGGAGGCTGCCTGAGGGGGGGAGGGCGTGCGGACGCCGGCTGGCGCACAGGGGAGAAATTCGACAGCTCTGTCAACGGAAATCCTCATCATACATCTACAAGGCTTCAGGAAAGCAAAACAACCTGACGGGGCTGCGGTTGTCACCGTCTGCGAGGCAGAAAGAATCGTGAAAGGTTTATTCATTTTAACGACAGGAATCCAATACATCATGTGGCGAAACTGAGAGGAAAAGACACACGGTGTTCAAATATTATTCTACGCTGCGCGGAGAAAGACGAGCTTCCTGATTTCTAGATGCTCTGTGCTTTTTGCTTTGTTAGATTGAGGCACGTTGCGACCGCAAACCTTAATGGGTTTTATTTGGCAGCGATGCAACGGAACAACTTATTTTATACAGATAACTTTTAGTTTTTTGTCATTTTTCACTGTTACTGAAGGAGTTTTGTCTGTTGGAATAGCAGTTCAAATGGTAAAAAAAACCTGGTAAATCTTGCATACTTGAAGGAAATTGAAAATGTTGCTTAAATTGATGCTCGTTAGTAAATATGTGAATGAGAGCAGATGTCTTGGAAGTTTAGCCACCGTAAAGTGCAGTTTGAGAATAAAACGGACGCCAGACCACAATCCATCTGATTAACGCCATGACCTACCATCTATTAAGCCTTATTCCAGATATAATTATCAGAAACAAGCCAGAACTGGATCCAGTTAGAGTTATTAAACTATGAACATGAATCAGTTGATGACCTGATTGAAACGAGGTGAGAACTAGTTCCTGTTAAGGTTGGACTCACATCACAGGTTGAGCGTTTCGCTTGTTCTTCTTCACCAAACAGCTCAGGCTCATAAATGGAAAGCAGCTGTGAACATCCGTCTTTCCATCAGGCCACAGATCCTCAATTAGATTTCGATCTGAACTTTGACTGGGCCGTCTTAACATACACTGATGCTTTAATCTAAACCAGTGGTTCTGCTCCAAGCAGGTCCCCGGGTCACGCCAATTCAAATATTGTACAAATAAGGCTCAAGTCGAATGTGATCATTTTCCCCCCAATTAATCGTCAGAATAAAATTAACGGATTACTAAAATAATCGTTTGCTGCGGACTTACGCAGGAATGATGCGATTTTCTCTTAAAACAATTTTCTTAACCTTCTTGGACAAAACAAGCAAACTGAATCATTCAGCCAAGATCGTCGGGCCTTGCTCGGCCCAATGAGCTGTTCTGGGACGGACCCGCGCGGCCGCTCAGCATTCCTGGTTCCGTGTGATGCCACAAACCAGACGTCTCAGCTCTCACTCAACACCTTTGCTCAGAAGAAAAGCAGCTGTGCAGGAGATCAAACAGGCGAAAGGAAAGCGGCTGCAGCTGAGGTAAGTTCAGGGCCTGACGCTGTGTACGGTCTAAAGTCAGGATCCGTAACGGCCGTGAGCAGAGAAGAGTGATTGGGCTTTAATATTCCCTGAGTCCCACTGCAGTGACAGTAACGCCAGAAGGATGAGGTATTGTGTGACAAATTAACCTGGTTTTCCAGATGCCTTAATGAGGCTTGCATCAGGGGAGACGAGGGGCTGTTATTGCCAAAAACCACGACTTTCTTTCAGTCATCAGCCACTGTTCTCGATAAAAGGAAGTGGAAATTAACACAAAATAGGCTTAGATTTCGTATAAATAAACACTGCCACTTTAGTCCGCTGCTACAGCTGTCGTTTAATTCAGTCCGCTCCAGAACATTCGAAAAAAACAAAACAAAAAAAGGACATCTACTCAGGCGAGGTTTATTTGCTTAGTTTCATGTCTCAATAATGCAATAAATCATGCAAAATACACACATATTTCATCCAATGAATAAGTTAAAAAGTACCAGATAGTGTCTGGAAGCAAATTTAACTCCTATTGGAAAACCTTATAATGAAAATGGAAATAAAAAAACATCATATTCTATTCTATTCCATATGAATGTACTGTGTTATTGTTGCTTAAGTAAAAGTTGATATATATGGATTATAAAGGTAAAGTACTACAAGAGTAGAGCAAACCCCCACCAAGTCGCTGTCGATTTTTATGTGAATAGTGACACCAAATTATTGACCTAAAACTTGGATATTTGATGATTTTTTTGTTTTGCTTTGTTTTTTTAAATACAGCATATCATCCTACAATAATGCAGCAAGTCATTTTAGCCAAAAGTCATTTTGGAAAAGAAAAAAAAATAAGTAAATATATATAAACCCTTCCTATTGAAAAAGACCATTTAGGAAGGTGACAATATCAAAAATATTAGTTGCAGTTGGCAAAGCAGCCAATCCACCAATGCCATTCAAATTCTTGCCCAGGATGAACCAGATGGGGATTCTCAATATTCTGCCTGATACTCTTGCACATTTCTTTGGATATATGTGTAACAAAAGGAAGCAGTGTGTTTGAGCTGTTGCTTCCAATCAGTTTAGATGTGAATTGATGGGGCTTTCAAAATTCACAACATCATCATCTGTGCTCTACAAAACAGATTAAAGGCAAACCCTTTTGATTTTGATTGCCTTCCTATACAGTTCTGCTTGGTTCTCATCTCCCGTCATTGCTCAGTCTGGGATTTCTCCCATTGAGCTGGATTTCCTCTGGTATGACATTCATTTTTAGCTTGGTTTTGGAATTGTAGTCCTACTGTAGTTTTAGCAGTGAAACATTAATATCCATCTCATTTGGATCAGTGCTTCTCTCTTCTCAGTGGAGGATGGTTGTTTACATTGCAGACCATTTTCAGTAAGTTTTGCATCTTCAAATATCACAGGCAAAGGGTGGGTGCAATTAAAAAATTCAATAGAATCCACGCCTCCAGAAAGCAATAGCATAGCCAAGACCCTCTGAACGACGCAAAGCGTAGAACAAGGGGTTGGTTTCTACTAGGCTAATTTTGATAGACCTTGAGGAAAAATAGGTCTGTTTTGAGAATGGTTTAAAATTGAATGTGTGAGAAAGGGATACT